TTGGTGTGGACTGTCCATCGCACCTGCACTCAGTGTGGCTCTCTATCATGGCAGCACCACTCTGCCAGGTGCTCAGTTCTCTTCCAAACTTGCAGGAACTCCACATCAGTGGCAGGTAGTGGCATTAATGATGGACCTGGATTCTCTGGGTGAGGACTCAAACCGTGTGTGACAGAGGTGACCAGTGGTGTCTGGGACAATGGTCACAGTGAGTGTTTGGAGGTTCCTTGCAGGAGAGTATGTTTAGCACAAGGAGGAATGGAAATGCCATGGTCAGAATGCCGTTCTTTGATTGTCCTCTCAATGAGGAGTAGAGCCCGTGTTTCCTCCTCCAGGTTTGGAATGTGTGACTGTCTTCAGGTAGCAGAAGTGACTCTGTGTGACTTAGACTGGGTCACAAAAGGTCACACCACTTCCTCCTTGTACTCTTGACCTAATACTTCCAGGGCATCCCTCAAGAACTATGTGCTATGAGAACCCAAGTGAATCGGTTTGGATGTAGTTTCCTCCCTAAGGGCTCAAATGGTCCCAAGGGTGACAATGTTAAGAGATGGCGCCTAGGGGGAGATCACTCAGCACCAAGCCTTTGGAACAGATTGCAAAGCTCTTCATAGGTCTCAGAGAACCCTAGTGAGTTCCCACAGAATGGGTTGTTCCAGAAGACCAAATCTGACCCCTCTTGGTGTCTGGCTTGCCATGTGGTCTCCTCACCCCCTCAAGCACTTCTGCCTTGGAGACCATCTGTTAAGAGGTCCTCATCAGAGCCCAGTTATTGCCTCTGCCGGACCCTTGAGCCTCCATAATATGGAGCTACAAAAACATTTTCTTTATATCAGGAGCCATGTGTATTTTGTCATCGCTACATAAAAGGAGCACATACACTGATGATCATGGAGAGGACAGGCAGATGCTCTCGTGGGAGGCCCCGTTGAGCCTGTCCCCGTCATTCAGTTTCCCCAGCCAGCGCCATATTCGTGGGGGAAGAAGGCCTCCCAGCGGCAGCTCTTCTGGTTCCCAGAAGTTTGAGTCATTGCATTTTAGGCCCTGATATCACAGAGCACAGCCATCTTGTTGGTGTCCTGTGAGAACCTTTGGCTTGGAGTATCCAGGTACATACCCACATGGCTGCCGTTCTGAGTGGTTTGTTATGCAACAGGGGACATTAGGAAAAGCCCGTTTTGTGATGGTTTTCAAGTTTTCTAAGGAGTATTTAATACTCTCATCTGCTCCTTCCACCTGCTCCCGATGCCAGCTTCTTGGTTTCCATGTGTTTCCTCCAGCACCTCCTTTCCGAGTGAATCTGTCCCTTTTATGTCCCTCTCATACCCCACCAGGTGCGGTTAACACAGATGAACTGGCGCTTTCACTATTGTGCGTGGATTCGTCTTCAGTCACATCCTCAATCTCATTAGGTGCCCTTTCCCTCTTGAGTTATTGCAGACAGCAGTTATCCCTGGTGCTTCATTGTCACAAAAAAGCCTGCCCTTCCTCCCTCCCTCCCTCCTTACCATGCTGGGGGATGGAACCCAGGCCCTGCTCATGTCTCTGCAAACACTCTACTATGATCAACACCTCCAGGTCACCTCTTCTTTTCGAGCCTACAAAGACCAGTTTTCTCCGTTGCCTTCTCAGCCTCCTCCAGTTTGTACCGTTTAGCTCTTGACTGCTTTTCTAGACCCCACCTCCTGCCTGGCTCCAGCACCAATGCCACTTTCTCGCTGTGAGTGATGCTAGCCTTCCACTCCAGAGTTAATGTTCATCTTGGCTATGGCCTAGCAAAACCTAACATCTTTGTACGATGTTTACTTGTTCACAGCACACAGTCACCTGGTCATGTGGCCTAGGAGTGACCAGGTAGTCCTTCTGCTTTTGTCTGCTTCTATACACAGAAGCACAGTTAGTTGAAAGGTAGAGGTGGGGTGTTCCGTGCTTTCCTTGATATCTTGCCCAGCTGGGCTAACTGGGATGGCCAGGATACTAGGTGTCTGGACACGCTCCTGAGTGCTGTGTGTTGAGGTTCCTGAGGTGACAAAGTTCCATCAGACGAGGATGGGGAAAAGACTGAACCTATTAATAGATTAAACTAGAAGGCCCCCAGAGAGCAGAGTCTGGTCTCGGGCTAAGTGTCACTGTGTGTCTGAGTTTGACTACAGGAGAGAAATAGGAAAAAGAAGGTGACAATCAGTCCTTGACAGTAGCCCATACAGCTAAGCACTTGTCTGAGGCCTTGGTATTACACCAGGTGTTTAGTGGGTGTTACAAGTCTTGCTGTTGCTTTTGCAAGATGGCTCTGTACCTATTGATCCTACCTGGCGTAACTGCCGTCCATGTTGTTTAAACAGCTGAGTGTTTGGTTGTGAGCGTATCTTCCTTCCTCCGTGTATGCAAATGCATTTGTTATGTTCTATATGAACCACAGAAAAATTTCACCTGGAGCATAGATAATCATGATATGTTAAGTTTCCTTTCTTGTACATAGGAGACCAAGAAATCTACGGTAAAAAGTCAGAAAATATAAAAATGGCGTTAGGATTCAGGGAGTGTCTGGGCTGTTGGGAGGAGGGAGGAGAAATAGCTGACCTAAACTTCAGGACTACATTATGGCTAATGATGAAATCAGGTCCACAGCCTATTTATTATTTATGGAACAGTGAAAACGCCAAAGGAACATAAAGCTAACTGCAATTGTCTTAGTCCATTTGGGCTGCCATGAAATGTCATGGATTGGGTGTTTACAAACAACAAGCATTTATTGGGCAGTTCAAGATAAGGACATTAGTAAATTTGGTGTCTGCTCCTTAAACATGGCCTCTTCCTGTGTTGTGTTTTCATAGCCGGCTTTCTCTAGGTCTCTTTCATGCTGGCAGTCATTCCATTTTTGTGGGCTCTGTCCTCCTGACTTATCCACTTCCCATAGACTCAACTTCCTAATACTATCATGTGGCGGTTAAGATTTCAGCCTGAGGAACTTGGGGGTGGGGTTTGGAATAAACGTTCAGACCATAGCAGCAGCTCCAGTGGGAGAAGGAATACGTGCTGAGAAATAGCGTTCTGCTGATAGGATGGTGTTGGTTGGTGGCTAAGCAGGGGATCTCTAAACTAACAAGAACTCATGGGCTTGCAGAGTGAAACTCAGTGATCGAAAGAGAAAGGTCATTGAGTGAACAATTCCTGGGAAACCCAAATGTCTCCTGTCCCCAGACAGGGCACCCACGAAAGACTGAAGTGCTATTCCATCAAAATCCAAAGGTTTACCTGTAGAGATGGATGGGAGGTCACTTAAAGGAGCATGAGTAACCCCAAAGCCGCAGCACCATAAGAAAGTGGGTGACAACTCCCTAATTGATGGAGTCCCTGTTTCAGTTATTACTCCACACTCTGTATAAAGAGCGTTTCCTGAGACCATGATGTCACTGGCAGCTAAGGCAGAATTGCCTGTAGTTGGCTGGAAGTGCAGGAGGAAGTGGCTAGGATCTTAAATAAGGGTTTAGTGGCCCTCCCATCCCCACTTCTGTGAGGGGAGGTCAGAGATCCACAGGCCTGACTTTGAGACTCTCATTCAGAGAGTCCCAGCTGCTCTTGGAAGGGCGAGGGCTGTTGTGCTCCCAGGATAGTGGTCTACAGTACTTGACTTTTCTGTTGCCGAGAAAGAGGAAAAACCCCAAGGAATTTTAATAGAAGAATCACAAGACATCTCAACTGCTTATTTAAAAAATTGGTAAGAACATATTATAAATATTTCAAACTCAACGACAATAAACACACAGCCGCTGTCTGGAAAAGCTGCGGCTGTGGCGGTGTAAAGACTTACCCATCCCTGTCTTGCTTCAATGGTTTGTTGGCCTGAGTTTAAAAAAAAAAATGAGATTTTCTAACACAGGCATCCGAAGTCTGTAGCCTTGTACTAGAAGAGGTGAAATGATAGCTCCTACCGACAGGCTGCTGTACTGTTGATGTGTTGATGGAGCTTGCAGCCTTCCTCCTGACTCTCCTGCAATTTCTGTCAGGAGTACTCCCAACTCCTCACAAACTCTGAGTTGACAGGGCCCAGCATTGTCTGCCCTTGAGGTGCTCTGCCAAGCATATGGACATTGTCTGACGGTGGTGTTGATGTCAGGGTGCTTCCTGCTCCTCGAAGCTCCCCAGATTGTTTTCCATAGATGCTGCCTCACTCCCCTACCTCTTGTTAGGGTGGTGCTGACAGCCCCCAAACCATGCGATGGCATCTTCTTCCTGTGGTGTGGCTTTTCTCATTTTCATCACTTCCTGTGGATCCCTGTGCTGTGGTTGATGTCGGTAGCCAGTTCTGTCACTAGGTCTAGCCATACTTTGGTGTGTCCTTGTGGTATGGTTTGGTGTATCCGTGGAGGAGTGGAGACTGCCCTGCTGTGGGGTTGTCAGCCCAGTGTAGCGTAACCTCCGTCTGTCCTTAAATACCAAGGACAGATGAACTGCAGGGAAATTTACTCTGCTAGTGGTAGATAACCTTTATGTTTTGTTTTGTTTTATTTTTTCAAGACAGGGTTTCTTTGTAGCTTTGGAGCCTGTCCTAGAACTAGCTCTTGTAGACCAGGCTGGCCTCAACTCACCCACATCTGCCTCTTGAGTGCTGGGATTAAAGGCATGCGCCACCACCACCGCCCAGCTCATAAACTAGTTTTTAAAAGGATTATGCCGGAAGTTGACTTTCTTCCTTCCCGACTCCTGGTGCTATGTGCTTTCTCTGCATCAAGGTTCTAGGTTTTGATTTTTAATTTCTGTTGGAAAGTCTTAAACATTAAGTTCAAACACTCCAGCTTCCTAACTCAGTTCCATTACTTTCTAGAACATCTTAACCCTTTCCACTAGACTAAAACACCTCTGAGTGGCTAGACAATACCCCACATTTTGGAAACTCTGTCACTTCCATTGGTCCCTTGAGGTTCCATTTGCTCCAGGTTTTTAGCCGAGTTTGTCTCTCAGAAGCCAACTTTAATTGGCTCAACTTTCTCTGCTTCCAGAACTGCAGCTCTCATGTCAGAAGGGCGGTCGTCACCTGCTTTTCCGCAGGATGCTGCGGTCGTCACGGAAACAGGCCAGTTAGGTACTGCAAAAGATGCCACTCCAATCACCACAATAACGAGGTGGGGGCCGCCGCGGAGACGCACCTCTACCAGACCTCCCCACCCCCCATCAACACGCGGGAGTGTGGGGCGGAGGAGCTGGTCTGCGCTGTGGAGGCTGTTATCAGGTAACCTCGGCTTCCTCTGAAGACACTCCCTTTGAGGCTCTCCTTGCTCACACAGAGATGGGTGAATTCACTTCAGGTTCTCATGCTCTCTGCTGCCTTGCCATCATCTCATGATGATGTTTTAATAAAATTTATGAATTCAATAAATATTTGGATTGAATGACAATTACGTGCAAGGCCTTGTGCTAGGTACGTAGGAGACTCAAGTGCCCTTCAGTTATCCAAGCAGGAACTAGAGAAGTGGAAACGTATAATTGTCAGGCTCTGGAGAGTGCAGGGTAGTGTGAGCAGAGGAGGTGTTAGGGTGGTGAAGTGGTGGCTCCTTCCAAAGTGAGGGTTTGAGCCCCTGCAGTATTAGCCAGGAGGAGGCCTTGCCCAAGAGCTCAGATGCACCCTGCTTCCTGCCTGTTAGTAATAGGGTGCAGAAGAGCCAGGTGACGCGGTGCTGGTGGGGACCACGAGGCTGAGGGATTCAGATGGCTCCGGCTACCAGGCTGCTGCTGAAGGTTTCTATTAGATGACGGAGAGAGCATGCCACGCCACATCGTCTAGATCTGCTCTTTTCAGATACTATCCAGAGTCACAAGATTAGTAAAGATTAACTAATATTAAAATGCTCTTTTAAAAAAGAGACTATATCTTTTTGATTTGTTTTTACCAACTGACAAACACATGATAGAATTTGATGATTACTAAATCAGATTACAGAAAACTGAGATCAAAATGCAGCCATAGAGTTTCGTACATTACCTAGTTGTTTTCAGTGCGTGTCTTGATTATATGATCGTAATTACAGTGAGCCTATGGTTCATTTTGGGCCAACATTCAATCGGCTCTTTCCATGTTGTGCTGAAATCCACAGGGTAGGCTGGGAAGACGGCTCGGTGGGTAAGAGAACGTTTGCTCGGCAAGCACGAGGACCTGAGTTTGAATCCCAGCAACCATGTAAAAGGCTGGGCACGGTCACATATGCCTGTAACTGCAGCATCAGGGAGCAGAGACAGGAGACCCGAGGGTGTGCTGGCCTGTCAGCCTAACCAAGGCAAGCTCCACATTCAGCAGGGCTTCCTCTAACTAGAATAAAGCAGAGAGCAGGGGAGGAAGACACCCAGAGTCCTTCTCTGGCCTCTGCAGGGGTACACACAGATGTACATACGCTCAGCTCAAAGTATACACCACACCATAACACACACACGCACATACCACACACCATAACATACACACATGCACACACACACCATTACACACACATGCGTGCACATGCGCAGTTATAATTTTTCTCTGCCATCATATATTTAGATGGCTTTCATTTTTTCATATCTTATAAACAACTCTTCGATATTCTGTGCACAGGGCTCTTCCTATATAGTCTCAGATGTGGGTTAGCTGGTCACAGGGTTTAGATGTTGTCATAATATGTTACCAAATTGCTTTTGAAAGCATGAGTATCAGTTTACCTCACCAACATTGTGTATGAAGTCACTTGTTTTTGCTGATCCCTTGCCAGCATTAGTTACTATTACTTTTATCTGCTGCTTGCTTAGTAAGCCCAGTGAGGAACCATTGCCTCCCTTCCAGAGCCTTGACACTAGTTGTTGACTTTTCTTCATCTGGGTGCAAATGACCAGCCTGGCCGTGTCGGTGGCTGGGGAGCCAGAGGGAAGAGGTATTAATTACATCAGCCTACATGCGATCCACTGGAAGGAGTCTCTTGGCTTATCTCTGAGATGGGGAATATAAAATAGCGAGACAGTGAAACTAGTGTTTCTGGGTAAACGGCACAGACTTAGAGGAGGGTGATCATGTTGGGGGAGGGCTCATGCGGCCATTGCTCTGGATGGGCCGTGGTCTGGGATGTGCTTTTCCATGTCTTACTTGAACCCACCCTTCTTGGGCAGTTTGTTGAAAGAAGCAGAGTTCCACGCCGAGCAGAGGGAGCATGAGTTGAACCGGCGGCGGCAGCTGGGTCTCTCCTCCTCCCACCACTCCCTGGACAACGCTGACTTCGATAACAAGGATGATGATAAGCACGACCAGAGGCTGCTCAGTCAATTCGGAATATGGTTCTTAGTAAGACGCCGCCAGTCACTCTTTGCTTTCCTCCTCTCCACTCCTTCGTTATATCTGATGAGGGATGTCTCCTGTTCTTTTGAAAGGAGACAGCGAACAGCGAGACATTAACCTTTTGAGTGGAGTGGTGTACTCTGGGGGGTAGTAGCTCTCAGTTCTGTTAGATTTATCCAACAATGCTCCTAGGAAGTCACCATGTCCAGACTCATCTCCAGAATCATCAGAACCTTTCTTTTTAATTATAAAGAAGTTTATTTTACAACCAATTTTGGGTACACGTATAATTTTATCATTAAGAGGAAAGAGGCTGCATAATAATGCGATGGGTATGCCTGTTAGTTTTTATGTAATCAATGACATTTTGGCCGAATATGTGATACTCCAGGACTCAAATCGTCTTTGAGGTTTTCAGGGTGGATCAATATTTTAGTTTTTCAATCGTCAGTGCTCACCGAATTTATCTTTAACAAGCAAGAAGGCAGCGAGACCCACAGCGCCAAGGCCTTGCCCGACTGAAGCATGCCTCCCTCAGGAGACACAGTGGGAGAGTTGCTAGTTTCGGCTGTCAAGTATGGATTCAGTATGAGGCCCAGACGATTTATACCTCATCATTTACTTGCACTAGGGAAGGGAGTCTTTGCATATTTAAAGGGGGTCTGTGAATACCAGAGGAATTCTAGTTAGGCTGTGTGGAGTGAGTGGTTACATTTGAGTCAGCTGTACCGCTCATTCAGTGGAGACCAAACATGGCAGAGACCCGGCTGAACGAGCCCGTTCTGCAGAGATGCGTGCTTTTTTTCCTTGTCTGCTAGAGTCAAGGATTGTGTCTCCATAGTGATCACTCTTCTATGCTTGTATAGTTTTGTAAAAAAAAAAAAACTATCAAATTGGGAACTGTTGATTCTACATGTCTTGCTTTCAAGAACTTATTATGTAGGGACACTGCAGCTCCTTTTGTTGAAAACTCCTAGAAGGGAGGAACAAGGCTTTAATTAACTAATTAATTTTGTATTCTTGGATCCCACCAAGTATTATTTCTAATGGATAGATGTTTAAAAATGATTTATAATATGGCCAATTGAGAGGGGCGCTAGGGTATCAGAATTACTACTGATGCAAAAGTTTTACCTGAATCTGATCTTTTGAGAACTGAAATATTTATGGGTATTTTTAATTGAAGATATTAGTGAAATATCACTTAACTGACTAAATCCTTTGGATTCTGTTCTAGTTCAGGTTCCATAATAGAGTTACACTAGGAAAGTGATGCTTATTGGCTGCTTAGGGATGTTACTGTGGCAATCCGTGCATGCCTTCAAAAGGACCCAAGTTCTCATAGGTGATAATCATTTGAAACATTCTGATTTTGAATCATCTGGACCCTGACCCCCTCCTTTAAATTTTTTCTTGACCTTCACATGTACTTGTAATAATTTTGTTAAGCTGGGTGGGTGGAGCCTGACTGTGATCCGTTGTGCCTACCGCAGGTGAGCCTCTGCACACCCAGTGAGAACACGCCCACAGAGAGCCTGGCCCGGCTGGTGGCCATGGTATTTCAGTGGTTCCATTCCACGGCGTACATGATGGATGATGAAGTCGGAAGCTTAGTGGAAAAGTTAAAGCCCCAGTTTGTTACCAAGTGGTTGAAGACAGTATGTGATGTCCGCTTTGATGTCATGGTCATGTGCCTTCTTCCCAAACCCATGGAATTCGCCAGGGTAAGTGGAGGTCATCCATCTGGACCTGCTGTGGGGGAGGACTTGGGGAGAAATGCCACCTTTGACCCTCCCTCTGTCTGTGTCAACAGCCAAAGACAGTTAGCTTACCTGGGTGTGGTGGCATCCACCTGTAATCCCAGACTTTAGGAGGCTGGGACAGGAGGATTGCTATGATGCTCACCGTGGGTTGGGCTACAGTGAGTACCAGGCTAGTCAGGGCTACAGTGTGATGATACCTTGTCTCAAAAATCCAAACCAAATCCACATAAACAAACAGCAAGGGCAGTTAGTGTAATACCTGCCCGCAGCCTTGGTGATGTGCCATTTTGGCCTTGTTTTGGGAAGAATGGCATGATGGGATAATGAGGTATCTCTAATAACTTATATGTTCATTCTTGGCATGGCTTGTTTTTATTAAGAAATAAATAATAACAATGGTTTTTATGGGGCTTGGGGGCTCAGTTCTTTTCTGGCTTGCAGCCAAAGAGGAGAATTTCGGAAGCTTTATGTGTATTTCTAGATTATGACAGAATGACATGACTCTGAGATAGTTTTTTACTATGAGCAATGGATCTTCCCTTGGGCCTGCATATGCCCAGTGGGTCACTAGAAACAGGTAAAGCGTGGCATCTCTAGCCTCATTTTCTGTCTTCTTTGGGTCAGATACCTTCTTGCTCGACTGGGCCTATAGGGGGTTGTAATAATTATTTAGGCTCTCAGAGGGTAAAGACACCAAGGCAAAAGCAACTCAAAGGTATTTCAACAAGTGGTCCACCACCGGTTTTTGAGGTGCCATATTTTCAGATCTCTGATGGTTCCTTGAAGTCTTCAGTAATCACCTCCCACCTTCCAGGGTCGGTTGAGCTTTTCAGGGGGTCACCCTGTGAGGAGACAGACTGACACCCTCGTCAGGACAGGGGTTCCACAGGAAACAGACCCCCCCCACACTTCCAGCATCACAGCTCTGGTAGATAATGACCTGGATGCTGATGGAAACTGCCCCCCCCCCCCCGATTGCCTCCCTCCCTGTCTTTTGGGGTAATTTTCTCAACAGGAATAATACTCACTGTGAGCAGAACTGAGATAATGGCCAACCAGACACATTGGACTAAGACCGCTCCGCTGTGTTGCCTCACTTCTGCTTCCCCATGTATCTTCTGGGTTTGCCAGGATTCCTGAAGACAGGCTTCACCCTCTGTCTTCCCAGTGTGGTCATCCTGAGTGTCAGATTCCTTTCTGGTTTTCAGTCATTGCTTTAATTTCTGGGGTGAGTGAACAGACCTGCTTTGTTGGGAACCCCTCCACTCCAGCTTCTCATCTAAGACACCAATAACAGTGGAAGTCTACTCCATGATGTTTAAAAACGCCAAAAATGGTTCCTAGAACTGTTGGAATCCCCGCTCCTTGCACTGGAGAACAGTTTTCTCCACTGTTCTCTTCGATTGCTACCAGTGTGGATGACTATTTGCAGATGCTCAGCTAGCAAGAGCCCACATTTCTTCATTACAATATAATTTGTGCCTAACCAGAAAAGGTGGAGGCCCAGAATCAGTTTTTGGCGGCAATCTGTGATTTATTTTCTAGGTTTTATTTTTATTTTAGATATTTTGTTTTCTTTCAAAAAGACCTTGAGATCATCTTTAGTTTAAACTGTGCTGAAAAGAGACATTTGAGGATAATCAGAGCACAAGCCATCTGCAGGAATAACTGCTTCCAGGATCCAGATGGCTGAGCAGCCAGCTATGCTATGTTCCTCGCATCTTTGGTGCCACCTACTGACTCATTTGTAAAATTGCATTTTTATGTGATGGACAATTTCCAGCTGTTGGATTTCTCTGTGCTGGTGTGCTCCTCTTACTTCCCTTATAGGAGGCAGGTTTGCTGTGATTCTGGGAGATAAGAAGTTACGTTGTCAGTAAAACTTTTCCTCTCCCAAAGTGGGCCCTGTGTGGGAACCAGCGATGATTAATTAGAAGTGAAGGCTCATGGATGAACATAATGAGGGATGATAAATTCTCCCTGAGCTGCTAGAGATTTGAGACTTCCAGACCAAAGTCAACATGGCTTTGGATTTTTGAAGCTAAGCGCAAGTAGCGACTTCCCTCGGAGTGGCTGAATTTTCAGAACCCTCTCTTTGGAGGGGGTAAATGGGTATGCATTTTCAAAATCCTCTGCTTTAGGCAGACACAGCAAGCTCAAACACTCTTTCATTTTCCTTCTTGAGCTCAAGGTTTCACTTTGAAACAGCCTCTCAGTAGTCTGGAATTTGAGTGTCTCCCCTATCTCGTTCCCGGTGACCTTGAAATTGTACCTGCAACAAAGATGCCAGGCAGACTGTGTGGAGAGCTTTTGTCAGACCTTACATGATTAGGAGCCCACAAAGGGGCCTGAGGAAACAAATTCACGAGTAGAGAGCCGCGGTTGGATAGGTCGCAGACCTTGTTCCTGAGGACAAGAAGCCAGGAATGGAGGTTTCTAGACGGTAACAAAGTGAAGATGTTAGTGTCACAAGTGACACTTGTCTCATATGAGCAGTGCAGAAGTTGTGGGTATTTGGTGCATTCTCGAGGGACTTGAACTGCTGTAGATAAATCTTGTGAAGCTTGAGTCATTCAGTTTTGGCTTGTAGGCCTTGGGGCAAGACTACTCAATATTAAAAAAAAACTTTTATTTGTTTATTGTGTGGTGGGGGAGGGGTGTACACGCAAAGGCGTGTGTGTGTGTGTGTGTGTGTGTGTGTGTGTGTGAAGTCCAAGGACAACCTGTTGTAGTTGGTTATCTCCTTCCTTTACCATGCTGGTCTGAGAGGTGGAGCTTAGCTTGGTATGGCAGCAGACACCTTTGCCTGCTGAACTATCTTGTTGACCCCAAAATGTACAATCTTAGTAAGGATCAGGACAATGGATTTTAGTTCTCTGTTGATGCTGGCCCAGGAAGGTGAGAGAATATTTAGAAACTGACTGTGGAGGTGGCTACGTGGTGGACTGCTTACCAGGCAAACATGTAGACCTGTCTTCAAAGCACTGAAGCTGATGTGAAAAGCCACATGTGGCCATGTATACCCCTGTAACTTGGAAGACAGGGTTTCTCCATGCAGCCCTGCCTGTCCTGGAACTCACTCTATAGACCAGTCTTGCTTTGAGCTCAGTCCTGTTTCTGCCTCCCAAGTGCTGGGATTAAAGAAGTTTGCTACCATGCCTGGCTAGACCTTAGACCTTTTTTATAAAAAGACTGTTGCTGCATATGGACAGTAGAGAGAAACAGCAAGCACTCTGTATCACAGTGTTGTTCGTGAAGGAAAATCTGCAATACTGAGTGTTTCAGTAGGAAGTGTGTCTGTCTGCGGACAGGAGCAACTGCATGCTGATCTGGCTTTAGAAAGAGTGATTTTTCAGTGTTGTTTATCATAGTAGGAGGAGAACTTGGGAATTACAGTTTTCATGGGCTCTGGAAGTCCATGGCAGAAGAGTTCAAATTCAGTCCATGACCAGTATCCAGACCTACCTGAAACTGCATCTTCTTGTTGTTATGGAGTTTAGCATGAAGTCCTCAAAAGAAGAACCACAAAGGGCCAGTAAACATTTTAAAAAGCATTCAACAGTCCCAGTCATTATGGAAATGTGGATTCAAACCGATTTTGATTCAGTGTTGCCGGACATCGTAGTCCACACCTTTAATCCCAGCAGCTGGGAGGCAGAGGCGGGTGGATCTCTGTGAGTTCGAGGCCAACCTGGTCTACAGAGTGAGTTCCAGAACTTGCAGGTCTACACAGAGAAACCCTGTCTTGAAAATAAAAAAGATTCACCAGTCAGAATGGCCATCATCAGGAGTATAAGCAGCAACAAATGCTGACATAGATGTGGGGACAAGGGAGCCCTCGTGCATTGTTGGTGGGGGTGGAAGTCAATGTGGCCTCTTTGGCAATCTGTTTTGAGGTTTCTCAAAGATGAGAAATAGAATTACCATCTGACACAGCTGTACGGCTGCTGGGCATTTCCCCGAAGGACTTCATGTCTTCCTGCAGAGGTACTTCTCTTTGCACTTGGATGGATCTTAATGGTGACTTGAAGATTCTCACCGACCTCACTCTGAAGACTGTTGGGTTGTGACTCCTAATAGGTCTGTCCCCTTCTTAGAAACCCTTGACTGTAATTGTAAGGAGCATGTTTCATTTTTTTGGCCAGGTTGGCGGATACTGGGACAAGTCCTGTAGCACCGTGACTCAGTTAAAGGAAGGGCTCAACAGGATTCTCTGCCTGATCCCCTACAATGTGATCAGCCAGTCCGTGTGGGAGTGCATTATGCCAGAATGGCTGGAGGCCATCCGGACGGAAGTCCCTGACAACCAGTTAAAGGAATTCAGGGAAGTATTAAGGTGGGTAAGTAGTTTGACAAAGTCACTAATCGTAGCGCTGACAGCCACAGAGCATGTGCTGTGTGCCGGGCACTCTGCTGATCATCTTATATGGTCCTGTGGAGTGATGTGAAGCGCTCAGGCAAAGTGCCGCCAGAATTTGAGCTCAGAAGGTGTGAACCTATTCAGAAAAGGTTTTGTTCTTGTGGAGCAGTAATTTACATCATTCCCTTTGCTTATGTCTTTAGATCTTGGTGTAGTAATATGAGCAGCAGGGCTGCGTTCCCAGCACCCCGGCCGCCTGCTCGGCTAGCTTATGCCCCGAAATAACAACACACAAACTGTATTCATTTAAACACTGCTTGGCCCTTTAAGCTCTAGCCCTTGCTGGCTAATTCTGATATCCCGATCAACCCATCTCTAATAATCTGTGAGAACCGGTCTTACCGGGAAGATTCTAGCCTAGTCCATCCTGGGTCGGAGCTTCATGGCGTGTGTCTGCCCGGGAGCGGGGCATGGCATCTCTGCTGAGGCGTCTGCTCCCGAGAGGAGAGCTGTGGAGTCTGAGCTCACTTCCTCTTCCTCCCAGCATTCTGTTCTGTTCACTCCACCTACCTATGTTCTAACCAATAAAATGGGCCAAGCAGTTTCTTTTTATTTAACCAATGACCTTCCTCCATCATCTTGGGATAGTTTCTTCTATTAATTCCCATATGGGGATGAATGCTAATGTAATGTTATCAAGCCATAAGGTCATTTCTGTGTAGTGATGGAGACTCACCTCTTAAAGTGGTGAAACTTACGCGTGCCCGATGGGAACACAGGCCTTAGCTCTCTGAGGTTCTAGTTAGGAACACTTCCGTGGCACCCACCAGGCATCTTCGGAGTGTGCCCATCGGTCACTTGCTTCTGTTGCTCTGCTTTGCAGCAAAATGTTTGACATAGAGCTGTGTCCTCTGCCATTTTCCATGGAAGAGATGTTTGGTTTTATCAGCTGCCGGTTTACAGGATACCCTTCCACGGTGCAGGAGCAAGCCCTACTCTGGCTTCACGTGAGTTGAACAAAGCCACCTTTTTGAGCAGTCTTTTGGCCACCGGGCTTTAGATGCATAGGGGACAGGGGAAGAACTTTGGCAGAGACCCCAAACCTTTGTGTCTCTGGAAGTGTGCTGCAGCTGGAGTCACATGTGTGAAGATAAACCACTAAATCTCAGATACATGTAGCTGTAGCTGTAGTGGATGAATGTGTTCGGTAAGATTATCAAACTCGTAGGGCCTTTTAGGCCTTGTGTTTGGCTAGGTGTCCGGGGCTCAGCGAAATTACCTTTGCCTGGAAAGATTGAGAAGTACTCAGGGAAGGAATGGTCCGTGCTGTACTTTCAGCCCGGGATGACTTCCTCTTCTGTCTCCATCAAAGAACACAATCTTTTAAAGCCTGCCTCACAAATTACCTCCTCTCAAGTTTTCTGTAGCTCTCAGTCCACCCAGGTCATTATTCCTTCCTGTAGCATCCCACAGGCTGTCTTTGGGAATTCTTCCCTTTCTAATCATTTTTTTTGGGGGGGGAGGGATAGAAGTTTTCCTTCTGATTATGAACCCCGTAAATTCAAGGACCACATATTATTTTTAACTTTATAGCTACCCAGGTTTTTCCTCCTAGCATTTGGATAGGCATTTTATTTAATGGACACTCAGTTTGAAAAAAATAAAAATTGTGACATCGAATACCCTCCCATGAAGCTTAGACATTTTCACAAAATGAGAGCAGATCCATAGTTTAATTATGATTGCAGAAACATTTTTTTAAAGTTTGCTTTTTGTGGTGCTGGGGATCTAATTTAGGGCCTTCTTCATTGCTCTAAGTGCCGGTGCTGCAACGGAAGGTTTCAAAGTACTGGCCCGGTACTTTGGAAGAGTGCATTGAAGAGAATGGACAAGACAGGGTTCAACTCTGACTCACAATAATTAGCTGTGGAAACACTTGCTGATCTCTTGTGTACAGCAGATAAAGGCTGGGTTAGAAACTTTATCAGTCTTTCTTCCTCTGAGTAACTGACAGTGGGGAACAGCCCCGGTAATTAAACCCAGAGGAAGTGGCAGTCCTTCCCAGAAAGCCATAAAGGAGATCTAAGAGGAGAGGAGGGTGGATTCATTCTGTCTGAAGAAAGGAAGCATGGGACACCAGAGTTCATTGCAGATGAGGTGCATTTGCCCCAAGAGGACTTGAGCTTGCACCGGAAAGCAAGAGAGCTTGCAGCGTTCAGTTGGAGTGGGAGTGGGCCAGGGCGAAGGCTGCAGTGATGCATGGTGAGGAAAAGGTTCCATAGTGCGTGGTAGAGAGGAGGACACAGCATCAGGGAGACAGTGGAAAGAATGCAGCAGCTTACTGTACAGTGGGGAGGGGAAAATGGAAATTCCCAAGATGACTGACTTCCTGGATGTGAAAATGGCTGTGCTCATATGCCTATGCTAACTGTCCTTACATTCAGTAGTTTACATAGAGAAAATCAAGTTGAGTTTTCTGAGTTTGAAAATTTACTTTTTGGGTGTGTTTGTGTGTGATTTTCCCTCAGGTATTATCGGAGTTAGATATCACGGTTCCACTTCAACTCTTGATAAGTATGTTTTCTGATGGTGTTAATTCTGTTAAAGAATTGGCAAATCAAAGAAAGTCAAGAACCAATGAGCTGTCAGGGAACACCGCAGCACGAAGGGTAATTATTGCCATGACTGTTCTTGTCCTACTTGTTCAGACTGGGGAAACCCTTGCCAGCTATTCCGGCCTCCATAGTAGCATCAGTAGAAATCTCTTTGGGAAGAGTGTACCATGTTCCATTCCATTAATCTTTTAATTACATTAAATAAGAAAACATTTGTTAAAGACAAACTTGATATAGCCTTTAATCGGTAAGTTACTGTTTTCATTTTTTTTAATTTAATTTTGCCTTCTCTTAGCATTGAGAGAATGAGAGTAATTTTTTTTCTGCTTATGTTCTTCCTCTGGGGGTAAGACATATCCTGGAAATAGGAATTCTAGTTACTGAAGATCAGTATTTCACTTTGAGGAAAGTGACTTTGTTTTGTGTTTGGGGAAGACATGGTCAATTGGTGGGGACTTTAAGTGATGAGGTCTTTTCATTGTATCTTTGTGAGTGAGAAAAATGCCTACGAATGTAAGATGTCCATAGAGGACCTGAAGGACTTTCTATAGGTGCAAGGATGTCCTCAGACCATGAGCAGTTCCTGAGAGGTAAAGGACCTCAAGTGTCTGCATGGCAAGCTTGTCCTCAGAATGCTCCCCAAGTCACACTGACGTCTGGGGATCAGAAACCCTAATGAGGTCATGGGATCAAAGGTTATACTCAGTGGATTTTTTTTTCTTTGAAAATGATCATTGCCTACCTGTCTGGTAGGAACCAGTGGCCCACTTTGTTTTCTTCCTTTTGCAACTCAAAGGTTGTATAGCAATTCACAGCCTTTCACTCTGTGTTATGTTCACACTGAACATTAGCACAGAGTTGTAGGAACCCATCATCCTCATTTCTACAGTTGCTGAAACTTAGGTCCAGTGAAGTGACACTATAAATGTGTATTCTGATTCATATGGGGTGATCTTCCTTACCTGGAACTGAGTGCTGTTGCTGTGCTTCCTGACCGCCAGAATGGTCCTCATGGGATGAAATGGCAGTTGAGCATGACACACAGACATGGCAGATAGGACTCCACTGCAGAATGTATTGCTCTTAGTAAAAAGGGGAGAGTCTAGTGGGGATTCCGCTGGGGGAGTGATGAGAATGGCTAAAGGCACACAAGGATGATGAAGCACCCTCACCCAGTGATAGCTCAGCCACAAACCACTGTACCTGTGGGGCTGAAGGATACAGAACTCCAGCAGCCTTTCTGGAGCTGGAACTGCAGTAGATGGCTGACTGTGGTCACCATAGAGTGGTGACCTCAGATGCACTGTAGGCAGAAGTGGCAAGAACTATTTCTGCCTCTGACGTCTGCAGCCCTGGTGCTCTTCTGGTGCCCACCACTGACTGAGCCCACCTGGACACCAAATGGCAGAGGGGCAGCTGAGAGACTGTAAGGGGCAGAGTAGAAAAGCTCCGTGAGGATCTCGGGAAGGGATTGGCTGGGTACATGGGAAATAGCCAGCACTGCAGGCCCATTGTATCTTTTCTCCTAAGAATTTGATCATTATAATCTCAGGGGTCATTCCAAAGCCCTTCCGGTCTAGAAGTCTACTTTTACAATTCTAAAAATTATCCTAAAATATTTTACCTTTATATTTTCTCATTTTCCATGAGTTTTCAGTAGTTTAGCCATTGTAGATTATTCTGGCAGCATTTGATAGGATGAAAATGATGGCGGGCACCTTCATTCTTCAGGATCCCAACTCCTTCCCAGACTATGGAATTGTGGGTGTTTTCCTTCCTTGCATACACATTTTATGGGGATATATCATGTCTGGAGGTACAAATAATTTGGGGAAGCCAGTGTGACAGCAGAAAACACCTTCCCTGGGGCCCTCACACCCCAGGGAGAGCCCTTGGAGCCTTCATGAAGTCATGTGCGTTTGCTGATGTGCTTTCTTCCAGGTGAGTGTCGCCTCTGATCCTGGTCGGCGAGGTCAGCACAATATGTTGAGTCCGTTCCATAGCCCCTTCCAGAGTCCGTTCCGGAGTCCCATGCGTAGTCCATTTCGTAGCCCTTTCAAGAATTTTGGGCACCCAGGAGGAAGGACTATTGATTTTGACTGTGAAGATGATGACATGAATCTAAATTGTTTCATCCTCATGTTTGATCTTCTCCTAAAGCAGGTAGTAGAGCCTGAGATTCCTTTAGTTCCCAGGCTGGGTCCTGTCCTAGAGATTCTGTCTATTGGGTGGGCCTCTTTGCTCTCATTGACGCGGGGCGACATCAGACTCCGAGAACCTCTTAAGGAGTCCAAGAACGACCTGTGTGACTGTCTGCAGGGTCATTGACATGTGAAAATGGATCTGAGTTTTAGAAACACTGTTTTGGTAGAATGAAAAAACTGGATACTGCTATTGTCGGGAAGGTCAATGCAGACTTTTGTAGCAATGGGGATAATTTAGGTATGTTTAATAAACTGATTTCCGAAGGGAATTTTAAAAGTTGAAAAGGCTCTGATGAGAAGGGTGTTTCCTCATAATTTAAAAAATTGAAATTATTTTGGATTTACAGAAAATTAAAAGAATAATCCAAAGAACCCTCAACACCCTGCTCTCAAATTCTTTAGATGTTGTTGACCCCACTTTCTGCATGAGTTGTTGTGAGACTAAGCTGCAGGCTTGGGATCTGTCCCCACACTCCAGAGCACTCAAGTCAGACAGCGTTACTGTCTAACTCACAGAAACTTTTGTTTTAGAATTAATATAAAAATATTTCTATCAAAACAAAAATAAACTCAGCCAAATTTAAAAATTATTTACTTATTTTGAGTGCATTTGTGTGGGGATATGTTACCTACATGTGTATTTAAAAAGACATGTCTTTTTAAACTCGTCACTCTGTATAATTTTACATATTTAAAAAATGTTGTTTCTCACCTGCTGTCCAGATCTTGGTTTCTAAGTACTATGATCCAAGGAAAGGAGCCAGGGTTCCTTAGAGAAATAGAAATGGCCAGTCCCAGAATTGAGACAAGGGAGAGTCTGGAAAATCTCACAGTGGCAGAAATTAAGGAACTACTTTAAAAGATTGTGGAAGGCTAGGAATGTAGCTCACTGGTAGAGCGGGGCTTCCAGATGCAAGGGTTTGAGTCCTGATACCACACACAAGAAAGAGAATGGTGTAGACGTGTTAGAGGAACATAGGGCCAGTTTGGAGGAGATCGCACTAATCACACATGGAGTAGCATGAGCCACATAATAACTAATCTTAGCAGATCATGTGACTGCACAGGCACAGCACAGTAGAGAAGGAGCAACGGCTCCTCTAGTGGTAGACTACACAGCAGCAAGTTCCGGGGCGGGGAGCAGGGAAGGATGGACTTGGAATATGGCCATTTTGAAGCCATTGCAATCATAACTGATTCAGGCATCCACCAGACTAAAACCAGTAGCTGAGAGTCTGATAAGAAACAACAACAACAAAAAAACACACGTCATGTACTAATTACAGAAGGAAAAGTGGCCTCTCCCTCAGCATCTTCAGGAGATTCCAGAACCACTCACAGACACCAAAATCCGAGGATGTTCAAGTCTCATATAGGAGATGACCAGGATTTGTAAACAGCAGTACCTAATAAAGCATCACATACACCCTGTGCTTTAACTCTTATCTCTGCTGCTTATAACACCCAATACAAGGTGAGGGTCATATGAATATCTGTTGCACTGCATGGTTTAGCCAAGAAGAAGATAAGTCTGTACGTGTTCAGGAAAGATGCAGTGATCTTTTTCAACTGATTTTGTCCTTGGCTATGGTTGGATTTGCAGAAATTGAGCCCAGGAGTACAATGCATCATTATAGTTACTTTCTAGTAGAGAAACTGAGGAGATCACAGGCTTCCATCGGTAATTCCCCTGTGCTTCCTGATAGGAGGTTTTTAAGAGTGTTTAATTGTGTGCATGTGTCTAGGTGGGGATGCAGTGTGAGTACAGGTGTGAGAGAGCGCTGGGTCCCCTGCTGCTGGAGTTATAGGCTGTAATCAGCCTGATACGGGTGCTGGGAACTGAACTCAGGCCCTCTGGAAAAGCAGCAAGTGCTCTTAGAGCCACCTCTCCAGCCCTGCCTCTGGATACAGTAACCAGAGAGGATATAATATCACACGTGTGAGCTTCCCCCCACCCCAGTGTGTCACTCAATATTTGAGATACATTTTATAAAACAATAGAATGTTAATACTATAAAGTATATTCTCAGAAAATCAGGGGCAGGAATAAAATGAGCAAGGAGCTGTTCTAGACAATGACTGAAGGCCTGGGGCACAGGTCAGTGGCACAGTGCCTACCTAGCTGTGTGAGAAGTATGCAGCTACTAGCCCCACAGGGATGAAAAGTCACCATATCCACCAGCATAATGGCACCTGTTTTTAATTCTAACACTTGAGAGGATGAGGCAGGAGGATTGCTGCTAGTTTAAGGTCAGCCTGGTCTACATAGTGAGTACTGAACCAGATAGGGCTATATGGTGAGACCATATTTCAGAGCGAGCGAGCGAGCGAGCGAGCGAGAGAGAGAGAAACTCTAGAAAACAGAACAAATTAAGTAATCTTAGATTGTTCTAGTATCAACAAACAAACAAACAAATCAGGCCACGGGACTAGAGAGATGGGTCCGTGGTTAAGAACATTGTCTGCTCTTTGAGAGGACCCAGGTTTGAATTTAAATACATGGTGGCTCAGAGCCATCTCTAATGACACACAGATTTTAAGGATAACCTGTATATTTTATTTTGTATTTATACTATTTTTAGATGGATGTTAGAAAGCAGTGTGTCTTCTTGGCTTTTAAACATATATTGTTTTAAAGTAATTGAATTATTGACAAGTATTATGCCAAGAGAATGCTGGATTAAGGACCAAACTCTGTCTTCTTTCTCTTCCTTCCTCTCTTTCTTTCTCTGTCCTTTGGTGTGTCTTTCAGATGGAGTTACAAGATGATGGCATCACGATGGGTTTGGAACACAGTTTGTCAAAGGACATTATTTCTATCATCAACAATGTCTTCCAGGCCCCCTGGGGGGGCTCCCACAGCTGCCAGAAGGACAAAAAGGCGAAGGAGTGTAACTTGTGCCAGTCTAGTATCCTCTGCTACCAGCTGGCTTGTGAACTCCTGGAGAGGCTAGCTCCCAAAGACGAAAGCCGGCTGGTGGTAAGCAGCTGAAGAAATGAGATGGCTTACGATAAGCAAAACCGGAGTGATGGGGCTGTTTAACTGTTATCTAGGACAGGAGATGGGGACACAAGATACAGACTTGTGTTTGAGTGGCTAATGTTGAATGGCAGCAGCTCCGTTCACAGAGTTTTTACAAACACAGAACATTACTGGTATCCCTAAAGGATTTTTATCACTCAGTTATGTTTATGAAGTTTAAATAATAATGGACACAGTACGTTATACAGTTAAATACGAAGTAGATTGTGATGGATACGGATCCAAGGAGCTCACCAGCATCATCAACAATGAAGAAAACCCATTCTCTTTTCCGGTTATGTTCATGATTTGCTATCAGGAAAAGCCACATAAAGAATTGACCTCTGATGGATGTCACATTTCAGTGGCTCCATACTTTAGCTGTTTCCTGTATAGCATACTTTAAAGGGCACACATAACACCAAAATATCCTTAGGCCATCAGAGGTAGATGAAACTGAGTTATCCGAGCCACCATTTCTTCTGCTTCTTCAGATATTGCTTAGGGTCAAAAGTTACTTCTCTAAAAAGATCCAACACTTTTTGAAGTATCACGCATAAGCTATAAAGTGTGCCTTCAGTGGCAGTCTATTGACCTTCTTAGTCCTGTCTTTATATAATATTATGTCTTTTAACACAGCCATTGGGAACTTCCCATAAAATACTCTCCCCACCCCCATTGTCTTTAACTACTGCCCATTGTCCACCATTCTGAACTTAGATGTTTTACATTCCTCGTGCAAGTGAGAATAGTTTACATTTGCTTGATCTGCTTCGTTTATTACCAAAACATAATGTCCTCCAGGTTCATCCTTGTCAGCATATAATACAATGTAATTGAAAAGCAACCAAAGCAAACTAAAATAAAACCAGCCACCAAAACTGATGGTGAGGCAATAGAGATTAAAGCCAAGGAATCTAGGTAGGGTCTGTCTGGAGGTATAGCTCAGTGGTGGTAGAGTGTCTGCCTAGCATGCACAACGCCCTGAGTTCTATCCCCAGCCCTGCTTAAAACAAAACAGCTGAGAGTGACTTGGGATATACTTAAGTAAACAGAGAACCACAAGTCAGTGTGATGATTATTACAGCAAGATATGAACAGAGTAGCTCTGGGGGCATAAGAGAGGGACTTTGGGACAAGCCTCAGGGCGATGGGACCAGGAGCCCTTTGAGGGATATGAGCCCCGAGTTATAAACTGCTGCAGTAAAGTTGAAGACAGGAAAAGAATTCAGACGTAGAGAATGTCACCCAAATGAGACACGGGGTTAATTTGTTAGTGGAGAAACTCTAATCACCTTTTAAAAGACCTACCTGGTCCCTCCTCAGTATCACAACAGAGACAGTCTCAACAGGGCTTAGAGGGGACAAACTGGCACACAGCTTGACTACCCAAGAGGAGCTGCCCTCCATCATGAGCGTTGTGTCTCTGTAGAGCAGGCTGGCCTTGAACTCACAGAGGTCTGCATGCCTCTGCCTCCAAGTGCTGGGATTAAAGGCGTGTGCCAATCTCCAGGACTTTTAACAGTTGCCCATCTCTCTGTCCCCAGCTCCTACTAACCATTTCTATGACACTGACTACTGTAGATGTCTAAGTGAGTTCCTACAGCATTTGTCTCTTGTGATGGCATCATGTCCCCAACCTTCCTTCAAGGTGTAGCATGCATTAATATCTCCTGGTAAAGCCTGAATAACAACCCATTGTGTGGATAGACATTTTGTTGATCCATCTGTCTGCTGATAGACACTTGAGCTGTATACCTTTGCTTCCTTTAACTCACATGTTACAGCAACTTCTTGTTCCTAAAACATGGATTCACACAGGCCACTAGAATTGACATCATGTCTAAAAACATTAGCTCCTAAATAAGATGTGAATGGGTGCTGATCTCTGGGACTAAAGAAAGGTGGGGGAGCTGTCCAAGGAGATCAGGCAATGGTTTCGATGTTCTGTTTTCTTGTACCCAGTGAAGGCAAATATTTCATCAGCCACTGCAGCACACCCGCCTCTTAGTAGCATGGATATAAGTGCTGGTGCAGGCTCTTCTCTTGGCCAGCACAAAGTTGGGTAGAACAGGCTGATTCACCTTTGCTGACTTAAACCAAGCTGTTCTTTATGGCCCCTCACATAGCCACTTGTATCTGTTGCAGGAGCCCACAGACAGCCTTGAAGATAGCCTCCTTTCTTCCAAGCCAGAGTTCATTATAGGGCATGAGGGAGAGGAGGAGGAGAACCCAGCAGCCAGGCATGGAGAGAATCCAGGCACCCGTACAGCGCCCTCAGAAAATGCTGGTAGGTGAACTTGGCTTTTGTCTTTTGCCTCCTTGTGAGATGCCGTTGTAAACTCACTCCAAAAACCAAAAACCAAAAACAAACCAACTCACTCCCGAGTATGTCTGTAATGCCTGCATGTTCTGAGGCAGGAAGATCATGGATTCTGAGCTGTTCTGGAGTACATTGTGAGATTCTTATATAAAAGCCCAAAACCAAAATGGATGAAACAGAATAACATGTGTCTCCTGTACTATTTTCCTAGACCAATGTTCCCTGCCACTCAGAAACTGGTACTGCTTGTGCCTTGTGGCATTAGTGGTAGTTCTGAGCTCCTGCTCAGGGAACCTTGGTGCTGCACGAATGGGCTCAGCAATTTCTACATCCTTTTCGTGTTTCCTCTTTCTGCATTTTGCAGGAAAGATTTCTTGTAGACACATGTCTACTGCCAAAATTGTATGTTCACTTTCACATCAACCATAACAGAGCTGGGCGCTGATAACAATGTATAAAGTGCCTTTGAGTAGAAGATCATCACAAAACTCACTGATGTATCAGCCAAGAGATTTGGCTGTCATTGTCTCTGATGCTAGGAATTGCCACAACTTACAGTGGCACATTATTTGGCCCATCTTGCAGGAGTTTTAAAAAAATACATAATATTTTTATTAACTCTGAAAATTTCTTACCATGTATTTTGATCACATTCATCCCTCCCCTCTGTAACTCCTCCCAAACCCATCCCCAATCTCCCCATTGCTCCAACTTTTTTTTTTCTATCCCATAGACTTCAGTTTGTGCAGGGCATGTACTCATGTGTGAGAACATCTACTGGGCAAGACAGACCACACTCTTCCAGAAAACTGACTCTTCCTCCTGCCCAAAGCCATCAAATGTCAAAAGCTCCTTTGCTAGGGGTGAGGGTCTTGAGAACCCCTCCTCCCTCTGTGCTATACTATTCCACTAGTTTTGGTATCTGGCTAACCTGGTAACTCGAGCTTGCCTGTATGAACACTAGTGTTGCCCCGTTGTCGCGGCAGAGATTAGAGAACCTCCCGAGAAGAGACATCCAGGAGCAGTGTTTGCGTTTGGAAACCATTGTCTGTTTCAAAGACCTTGTTTACCAGTCTGTATCATAAACTCTCCTTAGGAGCTCAGCAACCTGCACCCCTCTCTTCCATACCTTCCTGTCTCCTTTTAATTATGAGGGCACACCCTGCCAGCCCCAGGTCCATTCCCCCACAGGAGCACAGGCAGGGTCTGGGGTGGTTCAGGCAGCTGAAGACACTGGGGTAACATGGAAGCTCTGCCGTGAAAAATGGAAGCTGAGAGTCTTTGATTTAGAAGGTTTCCTCTATTTCCTCACAGAAGGGCACATGCTAAGGATCTCTCTCTCTCTCTCTCTCTCTCTCTCTCTCTCTCTCTCTCTCTGGGTTTTGCTATGTTTAGTTCTGACTGTCCTGGCACTCACTATGAAGACCAAGCTGAACTTGAACTCACAGAGATCTACCTGCCTCTGCCTCCCAAATGCTGGGATTAAAGGCGTGATCTACCACACTAAGTGGGCACTTGATAATATTAAAAAACCAAGTGAAAAGCATCTACAAACATGTAATGCATTCTCTACCCTTTTACCCCTCTCTGGTTCCCTGACCCTGATGAACTGATGAATGATGGGAGGGAAGGAGCTGGGCTAACCTTTGTGTAATTGTGTTTTCATAGCAATAAAGAACGACACGGAAAGAAAATTTTGCTACCAACAGCTTCCAGTAACGCTGAGACTAATATATACCATTTTCCAGGTAGATTTTTCTGAAATATTTGAATATTTGGTTTGGCTTTGGAACTATTTGTTGTTTTGGAAGACACAATAACTGTGTGTTCTTTGCATAGGAAATGGCTAAGTTTGAAGAGCCAGACATTCTTTTTAATATGCTCAATTGCTTAAAGATTCTCTGTCTGCACGGAGAATGTTTATACTCTGCGAGGAAAGACCATCCTCAGTTTTTAGCCTACATCCAGGACCACATGTTGATTGCAAGGTACGTGCTGTTCACATTTTTGTTTACGTTTTGGGTTTCAGTTTTAAGAACTAAAGCGAGAGTAAGACTTACTCTATTTTATTTGACCTTTCTCTCTCAGAACAATAATTTGATAAAGAAACTCACTTACTTCCTAGTTTTGTTTGTTAGTTTTTTTCTTTAAGGAGGCGTTTCTAGACAGGTTTCTCCTCGTAGCCCTGGCTGTCCTGGAACTGGCTCTGTCTTAAAACCAACCTCTGCCTCCCGAGCACTGGGATTAAAGGTGTGTGCCACCAACCACTAGGCCTGTTTTTGTTTTGGCAGGAAGGGTCTCACTGTGTATCCCTGGCTAGCCTAACCCATTAGATCAGGGTGGCCTTGAACTCAGAGACCCCTTGCTTTTGTCTCCTGGGGCACCACACTCAGCTCTGCTTCCGTGTATTTTGTCTCAGTATGCCAGCAGGAGGACAGCAATGTTTGCTTATTAGATTCTGCTGGGCCAGACAGGTAAGGATCGTTCTATGATGTTCAGTTGTTGGCTGAATTATGAATATAGTAGACCCTAGAAAAATGCCAGTGGCGAATAATGCTGCCAAGTGTGATTTTTGTAAGATAGTAATCTTACCCGAAATGCTGGCAGATACTGAATCCTCTGGGTGCCATTAGCCTTGCTTTCAAGAGATAGAGGCATTTTGAGAATAATAATAAAATAGTGCCCTAGGTTTATGGTGCTTTCTTTCTGAGAACCTTCAAATAACTATTATAGACTTCCTGGAGACAAGCCAGAAAAAAAGATCATTTTGTAAGTAGGAGGCTAGTCTGATACTTAAAAAGCCTTCTTCATGCATTGCAACAAAAACAGTTGAGGCTCTGCCCTTACTTATTTCTCATTTATTTATTCAGTCAATGAATATAATGACTTATTTTATTTATCATAATACTATTCTAGTGCTTTGGGGAATTTTTTAGTCTAGTCTGAGAAGGAATGAATGATAAATATTAAGGGTGACAGATATTTTATTGTTTAATTTTGTGTACTTTTGGGTTCAAGAGAATGGCTCAGAGGATAAAGAGCATGCTGTGTAAGCATGGGAGCCTGAGTGTGGATTCCCAGCATCCACACAAAAGCCAGACATGGCATTTATAACCCCAGCACTCTGCAAGGCAGAGACAAGCCAGACTTGTGGGCTTGCTACCCAGTCAGTCTAGATAAAACCATGAAGTGCAGGTACACCGGAAACCTTGTCTCAAGAAGGAAAGTGGAAAGCAACAGAGGAAAACACTTAAGGACAACCTCTGGCCTCCATTCATGGGCAAGTGTACTTACACACACAGAGTCTCTCTCTCTCTCTCTCTCTCTCTCTCTCTCTCTCTCTCTCTCTCTCTCTCACCGGAACCAAATAGGTCTATATTAGGGGCTGAAGGAAGGGGCAGCCTTGACTCCGAATGATAAACAAGGGTATAATCTTGGGTAAATTAATACATATTTTTATCCTGTACACACACACAAGTCACAAATAATCCAGTGTCATGTGGAAAGTGGCTGTTCTGCATAGGTCACAGGTAGACAAGAACCATCTGCATCAGTGATGGGGACAGGGCTCGGCAGCAGATACATCTTCATCAGCATTATGGGACTCAATTGTAATAGAAATGTAATAAAGAGAGGACGTTTTTAGAAAGCAGGAATGTCGAGGACAGAGGTGGTAGAGTTGCTTAAAAAGGGGGGACAAGAAATGGGAAACACTAGTGAGGTGATAGCAGGCGGCATTTTCTAAGATGTGGTTTCAGGGGAGTAAGGGAAGTGGCTGGAGAGGCAGTTCAGGGCCCACGGTGAGAGTCTTGAAGAGAGCTTCTCTGTTTGGTGATAGCTGGAGACCCATGAAAAGAAGTGACAACTGACAGAGTCGCGCTGGGCTCTAGCTGAGAAGTGTGAAGGAGAGAGAGACCCTGTGAACAGACTTCCAGGACCCAAGGCCCGTAGAGGTGCATCACAGAGTGCCCTGTCTCAAAGGAAAAGAGACAGGCAGGGGAGTGGATGCCCAAGACTTGGGTACTGGTAAAGGAAGTCTGCATAGATCTATGGTCAGTGGGGAGGATTAGCAGAAAAAAGCCCAAAGAAGAGAATTGTGGAGCCAAGTGTTAGGGCTCTGGCAGGCAGAGTAGAAATAAGAATGAAGGGCATGATGGAGAAGAGAAGGCATGATGAACGGAAGGAGACATTTAGAAGGAAAGAAAAATGCATGGTAAGGGGAGTTTAATAGAATATTTAAATCTTAAGGAGAGTAAGTGTAGCCAACTTCTTCAGAGAGGCAAGATAGAGCCTGGGTTGGGAGCCCCAGGAACATGGAAGAAAGAGTACAACAGCCAACAGGAGGGAAGCGATAGGAATCAATAAGAAATAACAAAGAATTGCCACTTCTTCAGAGCCCTGCTGAAGGCAGCTAATCTGCTTTCAGTGGGTGGTTTCAGCGTTCGGATTTGTTTTTGTCTAATGCGGAGGGGCGCAGAAGTGGAGGCAATGGTCACTGGGTGTCCTCAATCATGTTCCTCCTTCTCTTTCCCCATCCTGCTGTCACTTAGCCTGGTGCCAACTTGTTAGAGCAAACTAAACGTTGGCGTCTTACTAGTGAGGTATGTCCCTGGCAGCTCTTGATTGACATTGTCCTTCAATCATGAAGGCTTTGAAGGAGAGACAGACCCCTGTCTCCCAGAGTTCGCAACGTTACCTGGAAAAGGGTCCTGAAAGACTTCAGTTTGGGTCATATGCCTGCTTGCTTGTAAGCTAATCCCTCAGTTTAGGACAGTGAAGTGCTTTGTTAAACCTGCTTCATTCTCGTCCTTATGGTGGGCAAAAGAGGGAGCCCTTTTATGACAGTCTTGACAGTTTCCGTAGAGGCTGTCGAGAGCAGACACGCAGTTATTCTTTGTCATTCAAAGAGGGGAAAGTCTGCTGGCAGAAAAATAAAATAAACAGTGAAGCTTACTAGTTATTCACCTAAGAAACAATTTTAAAACCACTTATCATATTATCATCTTAATATAGCTGTTAATTTTCTATATTATTTAGTTCATTTATATAGCTGAATTTATATATGGAATTAAAATTTTATTAATTTTTCAGTTTGTGATATAAAAGTAATTTCTTCAGAAAATATTAACAGATCTAAACATAAATGTTGGAGGATTATAGTCTTGCGGACAAAGCACTTTCACCCAGATCTAACCATAAGCTATGACAGTGGTTCTCAGCCTTCCTAATGCCATGACCCTTTAATACAGTTCCTCATGTTGTGACCCCCCCAATCATAAAATTATTTTCCTTTCTACTTCATAACTCCTATTTTGCTACTGTTATGAACCATAATGTAAGTATCTGCATTTCTGATGGTCTTAGGTAACCCCTGTGAAAGGGTCATTCGACCCCAAAGCAGTGGAGAACCACAGGTTGAGTGTCACTGAGTTAAGAGACGAGGCTCTTTGCTTCTGCCAAGGTGGTGATGATGTAATGCCTTTGCTGTTCCTTGCTTCCCAGCCTGTGGAGAGTCGTCAAGTCCGAGTTCTCTCAGCTGTCCTCATTGGCAGTCCCTCTCCTTCTTCACGCTCTGTCCCTTCCTCATGGTGCTGACATATTCTGGACAATCATAAACGGCAACTTCAACAGCAAAGACTGGAAGATGAGGTTTGAAGCAGGTACTTCTAGATGTGTAAAAAGTCCTCTGGGTCGTAAGATAAATCAGATGTTCAGTTTTGAAATTTGTTTTTGGCCTTTATTGCTGATATTTAAAATCTCCAAGTTACCATTTTTCTTATGGGGGTCAGTTCTTATGAGGCCTAAATAGCTGTCACCACACAGCCAACAAGATGGCTCAGTGGCTGGTAAATGTACTTGCCTCCAAGGCCAAAGGCCCGAGTTTAGTCCTCTGGAGCTGTGTGGTAGGAGGAGAGGAGCAATCCCTACAGTTGTTTTCTGATCTCACATGGCCTGTGTTACATGCATGCCCCACCTACAAGTAAATAAATGAAATATTTTTTGAAATATGTTAATATATATATACTTATGCCTTTTGTCCTTTGTATTTTATATTGCAGTGGAAAAAGTAGCTGTCATTTGTAGGTTTTTGGATATTCACTCAGTGACCAAAAACCACCTGCTGAAGTACTCACTGGCACACGCCTTCTGCTGCTTCCTGACAGCTGTGGAGGATGTGAACCCTGCAGTTGCCACCAGAGCAGGTCTCCTGCTTGATACCATAAAGAGGCCAGCACTGCAGGTGACGGGGGATGTGTCTTATCAGCCCTACAGACTGTCAGTCCCACCAGCTCACTGCCTTTGTCATGGTCTTGTTTAGCCATGCTCTGTCAAAATACCACAAGCAGAGTAGCTTATAAAAATCACAGAAATTTATGTAACGTAACTCTGGAGTCTGGGAGGCCCACGATCAAGGTACTTGTGGACTCAGTGTCTGGTGAGGGCCACTTTCTTGTTCATAGCGATGCCTTTAGCTGTGCCTGGGCCTTTGTTTAAGGACATGAGTCTTATTTGTGAGAATCCTGTCCACATGGCTTTGTCTTTCCCCAAAACTCACCTTCTAATATTGCCAAGGGGTTGAGTTTCAGCATAATGAACGTTTTAGGAGAGTGGACAGAGATATCCAAACTACAGTACCATGCAAAGGCATGGTATTGGTGTCGGTAGTAGCAGAGATCTCCGTGTGTTCAAATGTACGCTTGTTATGTTATAATAAAAACAAGCAGAGATCTATTTTACCCCTAACTCTCCCTGTACAGTGGGGAAAACATCCCAGGACCATATCTTATTAACGGTAACTTGTTTTATTTTCTGATACAACTTTTTAAACTTATTTTTTCCCACATGCTGATGAAATTGGTGGACAGCTGTAATTGTTGTGTGGGGGGGAAGGGTGGGCGCATTTTGGAAGCAGGCTGCTTCATTTTGTGATGTTCAGTTGGCCTCTGGCCTGGAGCTGCTGTTGGAGGCTAAGGGGGATGGAAGAGAAGCTCGATCAGGCTAGCATGCCACCATTGGAACATTGTGAACCAAAACGAAGGAGTAGGTGACCTGGAGAGGGCCGCATGTCTGTCTTATGTGAACCCTTCTGCTGTAAAAAGAAAGTCAGCCTCAGAGACATAGGAGGACTTAGCAGAGGGCACACGGTACATTAGTGCCTACTGTTTTTCTACCATGATACTGGTTTGAATTTTATTGTTCTTATCAAAACTAATAGTAATGGCAAGAGTTAGCATTTGCCAGACAAGTACTGTGTTGCCAGGATGTGGAGTAGAAGTTCCCATCATACATTACCTCCCTTAGCCCTCAGAATAGCTTTTTGTAGGTTTCTTGCTACATTTGGGGAAGCTGGAGGTTGGAAAGGCAACGTCACGTTTTCAGAGTCACGGTCCTAAGACAGACTTCACTCTGACTCGTAGAAAGCCAAGCTCTCCTTCCTTCCCCTTCCTTTCCTCTCCCTTCCCCCTCCCTCATTCTCTCTAGTATAATAAGTTTTCATCTGTTATAAGACCAAGCAAGAAGAAAGCCACCTGTTTGGACCTGGACAAATGCAGGGCTGTGCTGCCCAAGCACACTGTGCCTAAGAAACTCAGTTGTCCTCTTCCAGTTGACTTTCCAGGCAGTGGCTCAGGGCTACTCATTAACTGATAGCAGAATGGGGGAATGGGATGGCTGGATAAGTCATATTTTTAAATATGAATATGTTTAAAAGAAATTTTCATAGACTAGAGAAATAGATGTTCCATCCTGACTTAAGTTAGTGTTCTGTTGCTGGGAAAAGACATGATGACCAACTCCTACAAAGGAAAACATTTCACTGGGGCTGGCGTTCGACCAGAGACTTAGTCTATGATTGCCATGGCAGGACACAGACAGACATGGTGCTGGAGAGGTAGCTGAGAGCTCCACACCCGGATCCTTAGGCAGCGAGAAGGCACAGTGAGACACTAGGCCTAGACTGAGCTTCTGAAACCTTAAAGTCCACCCCTAGTGACACACTTCCTCCAGCAAGGCCACACCTACTCCAGCAAGGCCACACCTACCCAGCGAGGCCACACCTACTCCAGCAAGGCCACACCTACCCAGCGAGGCCACACCTACTCCAGCAAGGCCACACCTCCCAACAGTGCCAGTCCCTGTGAGCCTAGGGGGCCATTTTCAATTAAATTACCACACATCTATTTCCCCCTTTGAATGTTTTAAATGTGTTTTCTGGTTTCATTCCAAGAAAACAGAATGATTTTTTGTTGTTATTTTACAAGCACACAATTTAGGATTGTAAGGAAATTTAATGACTATCTTCTCACATGTTCTAAAATGAAGCTTAGGGGGATAGTGAGGTGGCTCAGTAGGTATGGGTGCTTGAGGCACAAGTCTGATGACCTGAGTTCAGTTCCCTGAACCTACCACTCTACGAGAGAATGGGCTTCAAAAATTGTCCTCTGGCCCCCACATGTTCTTGGTTTATGCATGCATGTTCATACTTGTGTGCACGCACACACACGCAATAACAGAATAAAATACAATGGTGAAAGTGTGCTTCTCAGTGAACGCTACAGGTAATTGAAAAGAGAAGCACTGGTATTTGGGGTAAGAGGATGTTATTTAATATTTAGAAAATAAGTGGCATACTCTTAGTTCATAGTTCTGGATCAAGTTGAAGAGGTATTCTGAAACCAGGAGAAACTTTCCTATGCATTTTCCCTTCCAATACTTGTGACCAGAAAGATTGCAATTGAATAATTTTGCTTTGGGAAACATTGCTTTGTTCCATCGGCTGCCTGGTGTATGTTCTTTGATGACTCTTAGATTTGTCTGATCCCTCTTTTCCAGGGTCTCTGTCTCTGCCTTGACTTCCAGTTTGACACCGTGGTTAAAGACCGCCCCACCATCCTGAGCAAGCTTTTACTCTTGCATTTCCTTAAGCAAGATATCCCTGCTTTGAGCTGGGAGTTCTTTGTCAACAGATTCGAGACACTTTCTTTAGAAGCTCAGCTGCATCTGGATTGTAACAAAGAATTTCCCTTTCCTACAAGTAAGTTAGACAAAAGTCTTAATGTAGATAGTCGTGGCTCCCCCCTTTTATCTTTTTGGGCTAGATAAGTAGGAGACACTTGTTCTGTAGCTTGTTCCCCACATGAAAGAGTGAAAGAGGAAGAACTGACTTTATGTACTCAGTTCATTAACTTTTAAGTGGTTATGATGCTAATCTATAGATTTAAACATATTGTGCTAGTCTCAGATCTGAATTTTCCTCCCTTTCTGGAGGATACATATTAACTGCCTGTGACTGTTTTCTTTACGTGTTACCCAGTTGTTATGTTGATAATATCTGTGAACAATTTTGTGAGACATACTTGTACTGTGCAAACTCCCATCTGCTTATTATTCAGTTGCTGAGGAAAATATAACAAAATCAGATAATCAATCCTCATGAATTAAACAGGAAAATGATAGTCTTGATAGAGAGTGGTCATGATTCTTTTTACTGTAAGACACGTCATGGTCTTAGGGGCGGTAGATGAGTCATTCATGAATGAAAGAAGTCTTCTTGTCCTGGAACTGTACTCAGATGGATTACTTCAAAATAGCTAGGTCACATGGCCGGCCAAGGAAAAGAGTAATGTCTTTAATTCCTTTTGCAAAGCCATCACCGCTGTGAGAACCAACGTTGCCAACCTCAGCGATGCTGCGTTGTGGAAAATCAAGAGGGCACGCTTTGCAAGAAACCGGCAGAAGAGTGTTCGGTCTCTGAGGGACAGCGTGAAGGGGCCCACAGAATCCAAGAGGGCGCTCTCCCTCCCTGAAACCCTGACCTCCAAAATCCGTTGAGTATCTTCCTTCTCCCTCCCATGACATCTGTTTAATGTCTTTCTGGAGCTAACGTGTTTTGTCGAGTGTTCGCAGAAAGTAGCACAGTTAGCAAACAGCCATTTCATCAAGTTGGCCCTCAGCGTCCCTGGAAACATCACCCCATGGACATAAATGTCACGGGTGCCTTTCTCTAGTTTGTGGGTGTAGCAAAATCCTGACTGATATAGAGTAGTTCTGAAATGTAGAAGGAAGCGAACCCACTGATGCTTGGCATGAGGCTTAGAGGAAACATTTGGTTTTGAGTGTTAGAGTAAAAGGGCCGGCAGGGCAGCTTGGGTAGAGGTCAAACTTTGAATGATTCTCATTTTTTGTGAGTGCTAGAATCAACCACATAGGCCTCCAGAAAGATCAGCAAAAATGGTGGCTTTTGAAAAAGAAAAAACCAGGCCGAAGAGAAGTTGGATTTCTATTCAACTTCAGATAACTTATAAATGGAAATAAGCTTTGATGTTGATTTAAAAAGACCACACACATTTGTTTCATAAAGGTCTTTGTATTATATTTAAAGAGAATGCTTTTCCTTAAGTAACCAAATGACTAAATACCAGTGTTTAACAACAGCACATAAGTGGCAAATAATAAAGCCTGCAGAACTAAATCACTGTGAATGAGTGAGTAGATCTGGATGATTTAGTCTTAAGTACCACCCATGAAGTAACACCACAAGCACACTTAGGCACACTTCTGTCCAAAGCAGAAAGATTTGCATTTCCTTGGCATTTGTTAGAGAACAACTTTATATGACATGATCATGTTAGTCATAAATAGGATTTGTTTTTCTTTGCTACATTTTTCTTTTTTATGACAAGCTCTGGGTATGTGGTATTTTGAGCCTTAGAAGAGTTGGTGGAAAGTCTTTTAAGTAATTGATAACCTTAGCTTCTCAGGGAGCAAAGTGAATCACACTGAAGAATAATTCATAGTGACCCCGGGAGAAGCTGGTGCCAGCTGAGGGACACCAACCCTAGGCTGAATTAACTACAACTTTCGTATGAGTTTTCCAGCCCTTTAATAACCTAACTGACTAGTTTGGGTTTCACTTGATTTATTGTTATTCCTTATTAATTCACACAGCCATTTTGATGCTTTTAGGATCCACATGACTTGAAGGGGTTTTCTTGAGATCAGAAACAAAACACAAGCATTTTGGAGTAAACATCTTTTATATGATGTCAGTTACAAATAAGAAAACTTAGTGTGCTTCTGCTATCCAGAGCAGCCAGCACTGAGTATTTTTCTAGGCTCAAGTTGTCTTTAATGCTTATTGAAATAGAGTTGTTGTTGATTTTTAAGCTGTGAGGTTGACCAGGCATGAGCAGTCTGCTCCAGCTCTCGGTGGGACACCTGAACAGACGCCAGGTGGGTACTTCTGACACAAGTGTCTCTATCATAGGTACCCTAGGTAAAGAACTCAGTGTTTCTCACTGGACCAGAGTGATATTCAGATCTGTGAGCCCCAAAGGGTCTCGCTCTCAATGCTCAAATGTCTGAACCGCTGCTGGGTCAATTCTTTACATCGTTTTCTAAGCAGACGATTTCTGATCCCATTGACTTTTGGTCCAGTAAGAAGCATCAATTGCCCACCTCTCCACGAACAGCAGGCGTGACTAGGATTGTGCTCCTTGCTCCCAATATGTTTGTATGTGTAAGCTACACATAGAAACTCTGTGTTTGTAGATAAGAGTTTTCTTTAGGTGAAACACACTCTTCATTTGCATTTTGAAAGGGCTTTGTGTTTGAACCACCATCTGCTCATCCTTGTAGTCGCTCAGTTCCTTGCGAGTCTGCTCCTTTCTGTTCTTCAGGAGCATCGCCATCGTTTGGAGGGTCTGAAGGCTTTATTTAGGGTGACATGGCAGAACTTCCCCTGTCACATTCCTTACTGTTAGAACTTAGCACGAAGTGTCTCATGTGTTGAGCAGATACTGGCAAGGACATTACTAACTGAATGCTGTCCATACACTACCACCATTCACTGAGAGTTTCTGAATACCTGCATGGCTGTCATAGCAATCTCGGTGACCCACCGATGTCTCATTCTATAAACATTCAGATTTTTATCTGAGTATAGCTTTAAGTTAAACGTATCAGAATGGTATTAACTAACACTCTGAGAAAAAATTTACATAAGGAGACTTTGAGGGTCATGAGCTTTGCATATTATAAAAAAGTCACTCAAAACACAGAAATTCAGGAGTTGGAGAGATGAAAAGGCCCCAGAGATTTGGATACAGGAAGTTAATGGGGGCAAAAAGTCTTCTTTCTCTTTTGAAAGGGATTAGAAAACCCAGAATGGCAAACATGTGGCTGAGTCCCTCTTTGATTTATAACTCTTCTTTGGGGAAAGAGAGAGAGAGAGAGAGAGAGAGAGAGAGAGAGAGAGAGAGAGGAATTAAAAGAACTCTGATCTAACAACACTCAGTCTAGATTAGAAAGGTGGGATCTGGGCTGGAGAGATGCTCAGTGGTTAAGAGCACTGCTGCTCTTCAGAGGACCCAGGTTTAATTCCAAGCACCCACACAATGGTTCACAATTGTTTGTAGCTCCAGTTCTAGGGGATCTGATATCCTCTTCTGGCCTCTTAGGGCAGTGGGCATAGGCCACACAGAGTGCACTTATGTACCTGTAGGCAAAGAACTCATACACATAAAATAAAAATAAATAAATCTCCTAAAGAAAGAACGGTGAGGTCCATCTTGTTCCCTTTCAGTGAGGCTTTTTGGAGAAAATTTTTAGTAAGTTTCATATATTTCCTTTATTTTATCTTGAGGCTGGTCTTTCCATTCACACTTCTTTGAAAGGCCAGTCTTTGGTTACTATTATCTATTCTAACAACCCAACCGAAGGAACCCCTCACATCCCTGTAGGAAAATGTCCGTGTGTTTGCTGAAGTTAAGCCTCAAGCAGTGTATCATTCCACCCAAAGGACCAGGCAGAAAGGGGCAGGCAGCAGCATAGTTTAAAGTAAGTGTGAAGCTAAGACTTCTGGGAGAGAATCCCCGTGACAACAGGACGAGGAAAGCCTCCCTAGTTTGGAAGCAGTTGGCCCAGCTTTTTAGGCGTGCAGAACAACTGTTGTGTCTTTAAATTATCCTTCACTGGATGGTAATGTTTTTACTTGGAGTGAAGACATGCTCCATCAGAAGATGGTGTAGGATAGTGTACAATGGAAGAGCTAGCTGCTTAACAAACAGATTTCTGTTTAGTCTGGGCAGCGAGCCCCTCTGTGCAGACTTGCTATTGATTAGGCCTGAAATAAACCGGGTGCAATTTAATTACGCAATAAAAAAGCTTTCTAATTGGTGTTTAGGCTGAACTTTGGAACTCTGGGTTTACAATGTATGATTTTCTAATCTTAGCCTTTATGTAGGACTCACGGCAAATAAAACGGAAGGTTTTCTATAGTTAGATGGTATACTCTGCAAGGCCTGTGAAAAAAGCTGCATTCCCCTGTAATGTGTAGGAGCCAAGCCAAAGTCTTTTGTGTACATAAATAACATTCATGGAGTGTGAGAGCTGACATGGGAGGGGCAGTAACATTCGCATTGTATAGCAGAAGAAACTGAGTTTCTCACAAAGGGACAGATGCCACAAATTTGTTGGTGACAGGCTTGGGTCTCACACTCATTGTTCCTGAGTTCCCTATTTATGTGGCTTATGTGGCAATATAAACACCACCATGTTCATTGATTTTGGAATCCATCACTGCTAGCCTGGCATTTGTACAATTGTGTAAGGTGTCTTTTCAGTAATACTGTGGGCATTTCATATTGGCATGTCTGCAGTGCCCACTGAGGGTTACCTGGGTACATGGTTCAGAAGGTTTATCAGCTCAATACCAATGAATGGTGCGAGCCATACAAATGTGAAATGATCAGTCTTCGCATGTTTCTCACCCCCAGGGATGAATAGCTGGAAAGGAAGAGGCTAGAAATATATTTCACATATGTTTCATGTCTCTTCGCCTACAGTGCATTTACATGCATGCCTGACTTTGACACCTGACACAGCAGGAGAGCATTTCATCAGCTGAAGCTGCAGGGGGCATTCCCTCGGGCTTCCCATTGGTGGAACTGTCCTAGTTTGTTTTCTGTTGTTATGCTTGAACACCATGGCTGAATGGCTGGACACAACCCGGGAAGAATGGGTTTACTTCATCTTGTGTCCATCATGAAGGAAGTCAGGGCAGGAACTCAAGGCAAGAACCCGGAGGAGTGCTGGCTTGCTCCCCATGGCTTTCTCAGTTTGCTTTTTGATATCACCTAGGACCACCTGTGTTGCAGGAGGTCCTTCCGCTCCTCCAGCCTATAGCCACTGAGATACCAGCCCATTGGGGCGTGGTTTCTCTCCCTTTAAAAAAGTGGCCACTTCCCTCTCCTCTGTTGTAATTGTGTCCCCAGCATCCCGGCCGCCTGGCTAGCTTATGCCCCGAAATAACAACACACAAATTGTATTCATTTAAACACTGCTTGGCCCATTAGCTCTAGCCCTTACTGGCTAATTCTGATATCCCAATCAACCCATCTCTAATAAACTTGTGTAGCACCAGTCTTACTGGGAAAGATTCTAGCCTACGTCCATCCTGGGTCGGAGCTTCATCGCATGTGCCTCAGAGAGCAGAGCTCTCGCGTCCGCCCGGGAGAGGGGAGCATGGCGACTCTCTCCAGAGAGCAGAGCTGTCGAGTCTGAGCGCACTTCCTCTTCCTCCCAGCATTCTGTTCTGTTTACTCCACCCACCTATGATTTAACCTATCAGGGCCAAGGCAGTTTATTTAACCAATGACCTTCCTCCATCATTTCCCCTTTTTTCTGTTTAAACAAAAAGGAAGGAAGGCTTTAACTTTAACATAGCAAAATTACATATAACAAAACAGTTATCAAGTAAGAATTACAGTCACAATATTTATATCTACATTATCTTTTATCATAACAAAGGAAAACAACTATAACTATCTATTCTTCAACTGCATCAAAGACTCAAGAAGAATACAATATTACCTAAGCAAACAAAAAGTAAGCAATTTTCAAAACTCTAGAAATGACAGAGACATCTCGCTGCCTGTACAGTCACCCAAAGTTCCTCTGTACCGTTGGGGCATCAATCTTCAGCCTTCAGGCCCATTGTATCCAGCAGATATTTCCATGAAGCAGGAAAATTCAAAGTCAGTTCAGTCACTATCTGTTGTGTCCTGCAGAATGTCTTGCAGACTCCTTCATGAATCAGGAACCCCGAAAGATCATCTCACCTTTAGGCAAGTTCAGTAGTCCTCTCTCTGCGGGTTCTCTGTGTCCAGTTTATGCAATAGTCCAGGCAAGAGCAGTTTCTTGCCCAAATGGCTATCAAACTACATAAGGATCCTCTTCGATGCCCATCTTCCTCTTGAAGTAGATTGGTGCTGCCAGGAGCAGAGTGTCTCATTGTCATGAAAAACCCTAAGTTATTAAAACATTTAAAATGCCATATTCTATAATCTTTGAAAAATATGAAGAATGCCTATCTAAAATTTATCTATGTATATCTAGAAAATCTTAACTAACATGACTACAAGCTTGACTATTATGATTATCTATTAACAAGCTATATATATTACATTTTAAGTGAACTACACAATCACAATACCTTAATCAAGATCAGAAACACATGTACATATAACAATATTGACCTTAAATTTATATCACTAAAGCAAAATCCTTGTCAATGCAAATTATTCATACCTATATCACACCTGCTCAGAGATGGCACCACCCACAGTGGGCTGGATCCTTCCACATCAATCATTCATCAAGAAAACGCCCCACAGGCTTGTCTGCAGAGAATCTGATGGAGGCATTTTCTCAGATGAGAGTCACTCTTCCAAAATGACTCCAGCTTGTGACAAGTTGACAAACAAATAAACAACAAAACAAATCACAAACCCTTAGCCAGCACAGAGTATAAACACATGGTGACAGGACACAGGCTGGGAAGAGGCAAAGCAGGGTGGAGGAGCATGTGAGCTAGAATTAGCTTTCCAGCCCCTCTGCAGTAGTATGAACACACACACACACACATGCACACATGCATGCACACACGCACACCTTCTTCAGTAGTATGAACACACATGCACGTACACACACCTTCTGTAGTATGAACACACGCACACATGCACACATGCATGCATGCATGCACACCTTCAGTAGTATGAACACACATGAATGCACGCACACTTTCTGCAGTAGTATGAACACACATGCATGTACACACGCACACCTTCTTCAGTAGTATGAACACACATGCACGCACACACACCTTCAGTAGTATGAACACACATGCATGCACGCACACTTTCTTCAGTAGTATGAACACACATGCACGCACGCACACCTTCTGTAGTATGAACACACGCACACATGCACACATGCATGCATGCATGCACACCTTCAGTAGTATGAACACACATGAATGCACGCACACCTTCTGCAGTAGTATGAACACACATGCATGCACACATGCACACCTTCTGCAGTAGTATGAACACACATGCATGCACATATACACACCTGCAGTAGTATGAACACACATGCATGCACACACGCACACCTTCTTCAGTAGTATGAACACACATGCATGCACACACGCACATGCACCCATACGTGCGCACACACACTGGAACTACTTTGGGAAAAGCTTTAAGTTGACAGATAGATGAAGGCTTAAGAATGCAGCATTTGACCTTGGATTTTCTGGGTCAAATATAGGAACAAACTCATTGATGTGGTCTTTGCTTTCCCTGCCTGATTGTCACATGTTACTTTGAAAGAAAGGTCAGTGAATCAGTTCATACAGAGGCATGTTCCCACATTAGCTTTTCTGTCATGGGACCTCAACTTTTCTCTTATATAGAAGACAAGATCTGGAGCATTATTTGAGTTCAGTTCACTTGGACACGTATGAACATTAAGTATCTCCTCTGTGGTATAGCATCCTGTGCTCTGTGGCAGGTGCTAAGATGGATAAGACATAGCACATGCCTCCAAGCCATGTGTACTTTACAGGGGAAACAAACAAGGAATAGATAAAGTTCTGCCTTGCATAAAAGATATTTGGGGAATGCTAAAGGAAATTTTCCTCTTCTGCTTCCCAGCTTATCTCTTCTCATCTTTGGAACATAACAGAATATAGGGCCCGTGTCTAATTACTGAGGTAACTGTGGGCATAGGGAATAAGAATGGCTTCTGGGGAGTAGATTTATAGCACAAAACACGGGACCAGATGGAAGTCTGCCCTGGCAAGGGTGGGCGAGCATTGGTTCTTCTGAAATCCATAAGTAGTCCAGCTTGGGGGAGTGTTGAGCATTTGGTATGTGGGGGATGGGAGGCCCAGGAGCCGTGTCTCGAAAAGCAGATTCTTCCTGGTGCCAATAACCTGAATCTGTGACCCTGTATTCTGCTTCGGAGGTTCATTCAGTCACTCCACTCTGTGAACGAGCCATGGAGAACCCAGTCCACACTAAATTATGGTAGGCTAGCTCTGCCTCCAGGGTTATATTAACATCTATACTTTATTTACAGAAATAAAATCAAACCTTTAAAATGAATCACTATAGTTAAGGAAGGAACCACACAGACTAGAACTGAAAGCTAGTGGGTGTCCTAATTGCTGTGCTTTAGTTGTAGGTATTTAGTTTCAAAATGGAAATTGTACATCTTTTATAGATAATTCAAGTAGTACTAAATAACAGCCCATCCAGTTTGTACAGCTCATTTCCCATAGGGATTTAGACTGGTCACTTTCCCTTAAGAAGTGTGCATCTCTCATAAGCCCACTCTATTCTAATGAAATATGATGAGCTAAATGCAGGCTTGTAATGTCCAGGGTGGGAGAGGCAGATTAACGGAATAGGAAATAGTGGTTTATTTTATGCATGGGGATAAGTACTTTTGATGGCTTGCTGAGGATCTCTCATTATGACTGCAGAGGGAAGGCAGACTAAAAGCAGCAAGCATCACCCCGAAGCTCTGATCACTGAAATGAGGGCACATATGAAATGATATTCAGCCATGGAGGAAATATGACTTGCTGAGAATTAAAAAAAAAATCATTCCCCTTGTAATAGGAAGGTGAGTTTTAGAATGGTTAGGATAGAGTTTGATGAGTTGTCTTCTCAGCTGTGACTTGAGGCAGAATGAGGTGGGGACAGGACTCTTTCTGTTCCGGTGTCCCTAGCTTATTAGGACTAACATCAAAGCAGCTGTATCATCCCCATTTCCATTTAGGAGTCAAGCTATGCTAGACACGAAGGAGCCAGGCAAGCCTGAGAGATGCATGCTCTCCTAAAGCCTGCACCCCAGAGCTAAATGGAATTGAGTGCTGAAACCCTGCCATAGCCGTGGCGCCTGCTGCTGCTATAATGACATTGGGCCCACATGGAATCCACACACACACACTTGTTCCACTTTTTCTTTTATTTATTTTTACCAATTTTATTGAAGCAGTAATATTAATCTAACTCTAAAATAATAGTCCAGAAAGGAAAATCGAAAGTAATTTTTCAAAAAATGTTTTCTGAAAAAAAATTATATTTTCTACTTATGTGTATGTGTGCACCTGCTTGTCTATATGTGCACCACAGGCATGCAGGTGCCTCAGAGGCCAGAGGAGGAAGCTAGAGTCCCTGATCTGAAGGCACAGGGGCCTGTGAGCTCATGGTGGATGCTAGGAACTGAACCCCTATCTTCTGCAAGAGCAGCAAATGCTCTTAACTCATGAGCCAAATCTCTATCCTCATAAAGTAGACAGGCTTTTTAAAAAAAATTTCTATTTTTTAATGCTAAAAAGAGTTCTCTCTTGCTGGGCAGTGGTGGCACATGCCTTTAATCCCAGCATTTGGGGGGCAGAGACAGGCAGAAATCAGAATTTGAGGGCAGCCTGGTCTACAGAGTGAGTTCAGAGCTATACAGAGAAACCCTGTCTCAAAAACAATCAAACAAACAAAAAGAATTCTCTCTCTATATGTGTGTGTTTTGTTTTTCAAAGATTTACGTAAGAATTGCTTTTGATCAAATCTTATATTCAGTTTAACTATAATATGTAATGAATTTGGACCTTTCTGGTCTTTCATTGAAATAAGGTGCTCCACATAAATTGTTTAGTGGTAAATGCCTCAATATAATGATGCTATGGATTATTCATGTGTGAACCAAAATCTTAGATGCTTTAAAAATGAATTTAATGGGGAAAGTTCCTAAGGCATGTTGCATGTAAGCATATTGCACGTATGCATGCTTTGTGGGCAGACTGATAAGACCGAAAACATTAATGTCTTGGTCATAATGCCGAGTGTCAGAAGGTCCCTCTGGATTAGAGCCCTTAGACTTGGTTCTGCCTGCTCTTGAACACTACCTCCTCCTCATATACCTGTGGGTAGATCAACATCCTCCTGAAGACACACGGGAAGTAGCTGATCAAGTTTGCTACCATCTCTGCAGGCCCTGTTGAATTATGATCAGTAACTCTTGATCCAGCGTTACTCTGTTTCCCTGTCCTAGAGCAGAGTGGCCATTAGACAGACCAGTTCCACAGTATAAGGAAACAGCGCTTCTATCTGACTTCTCTTCATCCGGCCCTGAAAGATAGAATTTTGCCAAATTAACTGAGGCATTGGTGGATATAAATCACTCCCTGGATCTCTGTTGTGTCATTTTGACATCAAAATTTATATAATTTGCATACTTATAGTAGATGCAACCAAGGCTAGGTTCGCAAAAGTTTGCACCCAATGCTTGTCCTCACGCTGCTGGACTTACCCTTGAATGAAGATATGAGGATGTTGGTGTCCAGCTCTAATAACCTATTACATAAAAACTTAAATTGAATTTAGAAATTCTGCTGTTGTTTATCAAAAGGACAGGCTGCAGAGTGGTTTGGAAAAAACATAAATAAGTACAAGAGAGAAAATAAGATCCTTCCTTCCTCAAAGTCCTAAACCAAACCTGACCACAAAGAGTGGAGGGGGCAGGGCAGACTAGAAGGCTAGGAGGGGGCAGGCAGACTAGAAGGCTAGGAGGGGGTGGGGCAGGTTAGAAGGTTGGGTGGGGGTGAGGCAGGCTAGAAGGCTAGGGTACAGCTCAGGTATAACCAGGAGTTGAAGAGGAAACCAAGGACTAGAGTACATTTTCTTTCATGTGAACTCCCAGCTCACCTCATGGTGGTATTTATTTATTTACTTTCTTATTTATTATGTTGTTGAGAGCTCATGTCTCTGTCTCTCCTTCGCCTCTGTGTCTCTCATTACATACTGCAAGGCTTATCATTGGCCATTTGTAATTCAGAGACTACACACTGCTGAATCTCTCAACATTTGGAAAAAATATTATTTTGCCCCAGCTGACTCATGAACATTATTGGGTTGAGACAATAATTTAAATAAAATTCCACCAGCGAGTCCTTTTCTGCTTTGGCAATCTTACTAACATGGTGTACAAGCTGGGCAGAGCCTCCTCTGTCTCCCTCACTGAGGATACAAGTTGGCCACTGTATTAAGAATTGCAGAGTTTGCTGGGTATTTATCTGACACTGAGGACAGTGTTGCCGGTTATCTTCAGGTTTATCTCCACTCCTGTCTCACTCCTGAGTAACTGCTCAGTGATGGAGACAGTAGCTCCTGCCTCAGGAGCGACACTCTGCTCGGAAGCAATTTCTCATGTAGAATGGAACTTTTACATGCGTAGTAGAAGCAAAAAGGATGGTAATTTGTCAAGGTCAGGTGACAGCTTAATGCACACTGACTGTGTTCCTTACACTGACAGGACAACAGTCTCCTGAGAATGACAACACCATCAAGGATTTGCTCCCAGAAGATGCTGGAATCGACCACCAGACAGTCCACCAGCTGATTACAGTGCTCATGAAGTTCATGGCCAAGGATGAGAGCAGCGCGGAGTCAGACATCAGCAGCGCCAAGGCCTTCAACACCGTCAAGAGGCACCTCTACGTCTTACTTGGCTACGACCAACAGGAAGGCTGCTTCATGATTGCACCCCAAAAAATGCGCCTGTCAACATGCTTTAATGCATTTATTGCAGGCATTGCCCAAGTAAGTGTAATGTGCTTTCTGGTTGTGGGTTTTGATAGAAACAAAGTGTTTCATTCTGCTTGGATAATGTGGGGTGTAAAAGTTTGTTCAAATTACTTGGTATTAGGCAGGGGTCTGTAAAGGGGAGAATAAGATGGAGTAGGAGTTAGCAGCTTTGTATTGTAAAGGAAATGTCTGTAAAATATATTTAACACAATATTGAAACACAATGGCAGTACAGTAGCTCAGTCAGTGAGATGGCCATGGAACAAGCATATGAATCCGAGTTCAGTCTTTCAGGTCCAAGGAAAAAGGAAAATGGGTAGTGGGCATCTGTGACCCCAGTGCTGGGGCAGTGCAGACAGAGAAGGTCCTGGAACTCATTGCCTTTGCAGCCTGTCTAATTGGTGTGTTCCAGATTCAAGGAGAAAACCTTTCTAAAATTTATATTATAATATTTTGTATTTGGTGTCCAGTATTTTTCCAGCATGTCATCACATTGAAGCAGTACCAAGCTCCTTCCCCTGCATTGAGACTAGGTAGAGGCATCTCTGCATGGGGAATAGGTTCCCCAAAGCCAGCTCATGTGCCAGGGACATGTCCTACTCCCACTTCTAGGGTCCCCACAAACAGACCACACTACACTACTGTCATCCATATGCAGAGGGCCTAGGTTGTTCCTTTATAGGCTCCCTAGCTGTCAGTCCAGAGTCTGTCAGCTTCCATTAGCTTGGTTAGTTGTCTCTGTGGGTTTCCTGGTCATGATCTTGACCCCCTCTCTTGCTCATACAATCCTTCCTCTCTCTTGTCAACTGGACTTCTGGAGTTTGGCCCAGTGCTTGGCTGTGGATCTCTGCATCTGCTTCCATCAGTTACTGGATGAAGACTCTTGCTAACAGTTAGGGTAGTCACCATTATCGGAGAAGGCCAGTTTAGGCACCCTCTCCACTATTGCTAGGAATCTTAGCTGGGGTCATCCTTGTGGATTCCTGGGAGTTCCCCTGGCATCACTTCCTCTACCAAGATATCTCATTCATTGCTCTTCCTCTCTGCCCTAACCCCAACTTGACAACCTGATCCTTCATGTTTCTTTTCCCCAAATCCCTTCCCCTCCACCTCAGCCTCAGTTTCCAGGAGATCTTATCTATTTCGCCTTCTCAGGGAAATCCATGCATCCCTCTTAGGGTCCTCTTTGTTATCTAGCTTCTCTGGGGCTGTATATTGTAGGCTGGTTGTCCTTTGCTTTATATCTAATATCTATTTATGAGTGAGCACATAAATGTTTGTCTTTATGGGTCTGGGTTACCTCACTCAGGATGATTTTTTTCTAGTTCCATCCATTTGCCTGAAAATTTCATGATGTCACTATTTGATTTAAGCTGTGCAAATGTACCACATTTTCTTTAGCTATTTTTCAGTTGACAGGCATCTAGGTTATTTCCAGGTTCTGACTATTATGAATAGTGCTGCTATGAATATAGTTGAGCATGTGTCCTTGTGATATGATTGAGCATCCTTTGGATATATGCCCAAGAGTGGTATTGATGGGTCTTCAAGTAGATTGATTCTCAATTTTCTGAAACCGCCATACTGATTTCCATAGCAGCTGTACAAGTTTGCACTCCCACCAGCAGAGGAGTGTTCCCCTTACTTCACATCCTTTCCTACATAGGGTGTCATTAGCATTTTTATCTTAGCCATTCTGAGAGGTGTAAGATGGTATCTCAGAGTCATTTTTATTTGCATTTCCCTGTTAGCTAAGGATGTTGAACAATTCTTTAAGTGTTTCTTGACCATTTGAGATTCTTCTGTTGCAAATTCTCTGTTTAAATCTAGACTCCATTTTAAATTGAATTATTTGGCATTTTGATGTCTAGTTTCTTGATTTCTTTATATATTTTGGAGATCAGTCCTCTGTCAGATGTGGGATTGGTTAAGATTTTTTCTATTTTGTAGTTTGCTAATATTGTCTTATTGACAGTGTCCTTTGCCTTACAGAAACTTCCCAGTTTCAGGAGGTCCCACTTATTAGTTGTTAATCTCAGTGTCTGTGCTACTGGGGTTATATGTAGGAAGTGGTCTCCTGTGCCCATGAATTCAAGACTACTTCCCACTTTTTCTTCTACCAGGTTCAGTGTAACTAGATTTCATGTTGAGGTCTTTGATTCACTTGGTCTTGAATTTTGTGTAAGGCAATAGATAGGGAACTATTTGCATTCTTCTACATGCCAACATCCAGTTATGCCTGCACAATTTTCTTTTTTTATTGTATAATTTTGGCTTCTTTGTCAAAAGTCAGATGTTGATAGTTGTGTGGATTTATGTCAGGGTCTTTAATTCGATTTCATTGATCCACCTGTCTGTTTTTTTTTGTTTTCTTTTTTTAATTTATTTATTTATTAAAGATTTCTGTCTCTTCCTTGCCACCGCCTCCCATTTCCCTCCCCCACCTGTCTGTTTTTATGCCACTACCATGCTGTTTTTATTACTATAGTTCTATAGTACAGCTTAAAGTCAGGAATGGAGATATCTCTTGAAGTTCCTTTATTATACAGTATTGTTTTAGCTATCCTGGGGTTTTTGTTTTTTGATATAAAGTTGAGTATTGCTCTTTCAAGGTCTGTGAAGAATTGTGTTGGAATTTTGATGGGGATTGTGTTGAATCTGTAGATTGCTTTTGGTAAGATTGCCATTTTTACTATGTTAATCCTACCTCCATGAACATGGGAGATGTTTCCATTTTCTAATATTGTCTTCAGTTTCTTTCTTCGAAGACATAATGTTTTTGTCATACAGGCCTTTCACTTGTTTGATTAGAGTTACTTCAAGATATTTTATATTATTTGTGGCTATCATAAAGGGTGTTGTTTCTCTGATTTCTTCCTCAACTCATTTATCATTTGTATATAGAGGGGTACTCATGTTTTTGAGTTAATCTTGTATCCAGCCGCATTATCATCGTATCATCTGCAAAAAGCAAAAGTTTGACTTACTCCTTTCCAATTTGTATTCCTTGATCTCCTTTTGTTGCTTTATTGCTCTAGCTAAAACTTTGAGTACTATATTGTAGATATGGACAGCCTTCTTTTGTTCCTGGTTTTCGTGGAATTGCTTTGAGTTTCCATTTAATTTGATGTTGACTGTTAGCTTGCTGTATATTGCTTTATATTATGTTTAGGTATGCTCCTTGTATCCTTGATCTACCCAGAACCTTTATCAAGAAGGGGTGTTGGATTTTGTCAAAGGCCTTTTAAGCATTTAATGAGATGATCATGTGTTTTCTCTTTCAGTTTGTTTATATGGTAGATTACTTTGACTGATTTTTGTATGTTGAACCATCCCTGCATTTCTGGGATGAAGCCTACTTGATCATTTATATTGATGATTTATATTGATGTGTTCTTGGATTCAGTTTGCCAGTATTTTATTGAATATTTTTGCATCAATGTTTATGAGGGAGATTGGTCTGTAATTCTCTTTCTTTATTATATCTTTGTGCAGTTTGGTTATCATTGTAACTGTGATCTCATAAAAAGAATTTTGCTATGTTCCATCTGTTTTTGTTGTTTGGAACAATTTGAGGAATATTTATATTATAGCATCTTTGAAATTTTGATAGAATTCTACACTGAAACTATCTGGCCCTGTTTTTTTTGGGGGGGGGACTTTTAAAGCTTGTTTATATTTCCTTAGGGGTAATAGGTCTGTTTAATTTGTTTATCTGGTCTTGATTTAATTTTGGTATGTGGTACCTATCCAGAAAATTGCCAGTTTTTTTTAGATTTTCCAGTTTTGTGGAGTACAGATATTTGAAGTATGACCTGATGAGTCTCAGAATTTTCTCAGTGTCTGTTGTTATGTCCCTCTTTTCATTTCAGATTCTGTTAATTTGGATATTCTCTCTCTGCCTTTTGATTAGTTTGGATAAGGGTTTGTCTATCTTGTTGATTTTCTCAAAGAACCAGCTCTTTGTTTCATTGATTCATTGATTTGTATTAGTCTCTTGGTTTTTAATTTATTGATTTCAGCCCAGAGTTTATTTCCTGCCATTTACTCCTCCTGGAGTAAATTTGTTTCTTTTTGTCCTAGAACTTTCAGGTGTGCTGTTAAGTTGCTAGTATGGGATTTCTCCAGGTTCTTTATGTAGGCGCTACATGCTATGAAGCTCCCTCTTAGCACAGCTTTCGTAGTGTCCCATACATTTGGGTATGTTGTGGATTCATTTTCATTGAATCCTAAGAAGTATTTAATTTCTTTATTTCTTCTTTGACCCAGTGGTAATTCAGCTGAGAACTGTTCCTTTTCCATGAGTTTGTAGGCTTTCTGTAGTTTGTGTTGTTGAACTTTAACTTTAACCCATGGTGTTCTGATAAGATACCAGGGATTATTTCAACTTTTTTCTGTCTGTTGAGATTTGCTTTATGACCGACCAAGTATGTGGTCAGTTCTAGAGAAGGTTCCAAGAGGTGCTGACAAGTAGGTATATTATTTTGTGTTTGGTTGAAATGTTCTGTAGATGTCTATTAAGTCCATTTGAATCATAACATCTGTTAGTTTCCTTGTTTCTCTGTTAAGTTTCTGTCTGACTGACCTGTCCTTTGGTAAGAATGAGGTATTCATGGGGGCTGGAGAGATGGCTCAGAGTTTAAGAGCATTGCCTGCTCTTCCAAAGGTCCTGAGTTCAATTCCCAGCAATCACATGGTGGCTCATAACCATCTGTAATGGGGTCTGGTTCCCTCTTCTGGCCTGAAGGCATACACACAGGCAGAATATTGTATACATAATAAATAAATAAATATTAAAAAAAGAATGAGGTATTCAAGTTTCCTATTGTTTATGTGTGAGGTTTGATGTGTGGTTTAAGCTTTAGTAATATTTCTTTCACAAATATGGATGCCCTTGTATTTGGGGCATAGATGTTCAGAATTGAGACTTCATCTTTATGGATTTTCCCTTTGATGAATATGAAGTATCTTTCTCCATCTCTTTTGATTAACTTTAGTTTGAAGTCTATTTTGTTAGGTATTAGGATGGGTGATGGGGAAACTTGCTTCTTAGGTCTGTTTGGTTGGAAAATCTTTTCCCAACCCTTTACTCTGAGGCGATGTCTGTCTTTGAAATTGAGGTGTGTTTTTTGTATGCATCAGTTGGATGGATCCTGTTTTCTTATCCATTCTCTTAGCCTGTGTCTTTTTATAGGTGAATTGGGTCCATTGATATTAAGAGGTTCTATTGACTGTGATTGTTAATTCTTGTTATTTTTTGTTTTTTTGTGGTAGTGGTGGTAATGTGTGTGTCTCCCTTTGCGTTCGCTGGTGTGAGATCATCTATTGCTTGTGTTTTTGTGGATGTAGCCAGCTTTCTTGGGTTGGAGTTTTCCTTCCAGTACTTTCAGTGGGGCTGGATTTGTGGCTAAGTATTGTTTAAATCTAGTTTTGTCATGGACTATCTTGTTTTCTCCATCTATGGTGATTGAAACTTTTCCTTATTTCTCTATTAAGTTTCTGTCTGGCTGACCTGTCCATTGTCAGAATGCTGTGTTGAGGTATGCTGATGCTGGGTACAGTAGTCTGGGCTGGCACCTGTGGTCTCTTAATGTCTGCAAAACATCTGTCCAGGACTGTCTAGCTTTTAGAGTCTCCACTGAGGAGTTGGGTGTAATTCTGATAGGTTTACCATTATATGCTACTTGGCCTTTTTCCTTTGTAGCTCTTAATGTTCTTTCTTTATTCTGTATATTTAGTGTTTTGATTATTATGTGGTAAAAGGATTTTTTTTGGTCCAGCCTATTTTATGTTATAAAACTTCTTGTACCTTTATAGGCATGTCCTTCTTTATATTGAGAAAGTTTTCTACGATTTTGTTGAATATGTTTTCTGAACCTTTGAGCAAATTCTTCTCCTACTTCTATTCCTAGTATTCTTAGGTTTGGTCTTTTCATGGTGTCCCAGATTTACTAGTTGTTTTGTGCTAGGAATTTATTGGATTTAAGATTTTCTTTGACGGATGAATTTGTTTCCTCCATCATATCTTCAACACCTGAGATTCTATCTTCCATCTCTTATATGAAAGAGTAGTTCCTTGTATGAAATCTGTAGTTCCTGTTCACTTCCCCAGATTTTCCATTTCCCTCAGTTTGTGCTTTCTTCTCTTTCTTTCTTTCTTTCTTTCTTTTTATTTATTTATTTTTTTTTATTTTCGAGACAGGGTTTCTCCGTAGCTTTTGGTTCCTGTTCTGGAACTAGCTCTTGTAGACCAGGCTGGCTTCGAACTCAGAGAGATCCACCTGCCTTTGCCTCCCGAATGCTGGGATTAAAGGCTTGCGCCACCACCGCTCAGCTGGTTTGTGCTTTCTTTATTGTCTCTATTTCAATTTTCAAGTCTTGAACTGTTGCCTTTACCTGTTTGATTGCTTTTTCTTGGTTTTCTTTAAGGAGTTTATTGATTTTTTTCCCAATTTTTTGTTTGTCTTTTCTTCAATTTCTTTCTTTTTCTTTTCTTTTTTATTGAGAAAAGGAAAAAAAAAACAAGTTTCTGCCTCCTCCCAGCCTCCCATTTCCCTCCCCCTCCTCCCACCCTTCTCCCCCTCCCCCTCCTCCTCTCCCGCTCCCTCTCTAGTCCAAAGAGCAGTCAGGGTTCCCTGCCCTGTGGAAAGTCCAAGGTCCTCCCCCCTCCGTCCACATCTAGGAAGGTGAACATCCAAACTGGCTAGGCTCCCACAAAGCCAGCACATTAAGTAGGATCAAAACCCCATGACATTGTCCTTGGCTTCTCATCAGCCCTCATTGTTCGCCATGTTCAGAGAGCCCGGTTTTATCCCATGCTTTTTCAGTCACAGTCCAGCTGGCCTTGGTGAGCTCCCAATAGATCAGCCCCACTGTCTCAGTGGGTGGGTGCACCCCTCGTGGTCCCAACTTCTTTGCTCATGTTCTCCCTCCTTCTGCTCCTCATTGGGACCTTGGGAGCTCAGTTCAGTGCTCCAGTGTGGGTCTCTGTCTCTATCTCCATCCATCACCAGATGAAGGTTCTATGGTGATATGCAAGATATTCGTCAGTATTGCTATAGGATAGGGTCATTTCAGGTTCCCTATCCTCAGCTGCCCAAGGAACTAACTGGGGACATCGCCTTGGGCTCCTGGGAGCCACTCTAGGGTCAAGTCTCTTGCCAACCCTAAGGTGGCTCCCTTAACTAAGAATTGTGCTTCCGTGCTCCCCTATCCAACCTTCCTTTATCCCAATCATCCTTTTTCCCCAAGTTCCCCCCATCCTCCCCTTCTCCCTTTTCTCTCCCCATCTCCCCTTACCCCCATCCCACCCACCCCCAAGATCCCAATTTTCTCCCCGACAATTTTGTCTACTTCCCATAGCTAAGAGGATAACTATATGTTTTTCCTTGGGTTCACCTTCTTATTTAGCTTCTTTAGGTTCACCAATTGTAGACTCCGTGACCCTTATTTATGGCTAGAAACCAATTATGAGTGAGTACATCCCATGTTCATCTTTTTGGGTGTGGGTTACCTCACTCAGGATAGTGTTTTCTATTTCCATCCATTTGCATGCAAAATTCGAGAAGTCCTTGTTTTTTACCGCAGCGTAGTACTCTAATGTGTATATATTCCACACTTTCTTCATCCATTCTTCCATTGAAGGGCATCTAGGTTGTTTCCAGGTTCTGGCTATTACAAATAATACTGCTATGAACATAGTTGAACAAATGCTCTTGTCATATGATAGGGCATCTCTTGGGTATATTCCCAGGAGTGGTATTGCTGGGTCCAGGGGTAGGTTGATCCCCAATTTCCTGAGAAACCGAAACACTGATTTCCAAAGTGGTTGCACAAGATTGCATTCCCACCAGCAATGGATGAGGGTACCCCTTCCTCCACAGCCTCTCCAGCAAAGGCTATCATTGGAGTTTTTTATTTTAGCCATTCTGACAGGTGTAAGATGATATCTCAAAGTTGTTTTGATTTGCATTTCCCTGATCGCTAAGGAGGTTGAGCATGACCTTAAGTGTCTTTTGGCCATTTGAACTTCTTCTGCTGAGAATTCTCTGTTCAGTTCAGTGCCCCATTTTTTAATTGGGTTAATTAGCATTTTAAAGTCTAATTTCTTGAGTTCTCTATATATTTTGGAGATCAGACCTTTGTCTGTTGCGGGATTGGTGAAGATCTTCTCTCAGTCAGTTTGTTTGTAACTACACCGCATATTTTTTAAAGCTTACTTTGACAACCTTTTTTACATTCATCTCTCTATCTTTGTGGGCCGTGTGAAGGTCAGAGAGCAACTTTCTAAGTTGATTCTCTTGTGCTACCATGTGGTTTTCAAGGTTTGCACTCAGGTCATCAGGCTTGGCAGCAAGCACCTTCACTGACTGAGCCATCTCACTGGCCTGGCACATTTTTTTTTTTTTGTAAAACTGTCTAACCATGCATGGCAGTGCACACCTTTAATTCCAGCACGTAAGAGGCAGAGACATGTGGATCTCTGAGTTTGAGACACTAGCCAGGACTACAGAGTGAGTTCCAGGACAGCCAGGGCTACACAGAGGAACCCTGTTTTGCAAAACAAGCAAACAAAAGAATTGTATATATAAAGTGGATAAGATCGCACTATACCTGTAGTCCCAGCCCTTAGAAGGCAAAAGTAGGAGAATAATGAACTGCAGGCTAGCCTGGGCTACATGAGACCTGTCTCCAAAAAATCAATTTTTAATATACATGTTAATATAATGTTTATAAATATATAACATTATGTATACTGATATACATATAACTTTTAAAAACAAAATTAATAATTATAAAGTTTTTATCATAGGTATGAGAGTACATTATTGCCCATTTAAGTATACTTTTATACAAATAATGTTTTATTTATTTTACTTATTTTGCTTGTTTATACAGGATGTCACACTGTAACCCAGTATTCACTATGTAGAACAGGCTGGCTTCACATTCCTTCTGTCTCAGCCTTCTGAGTGCTGGAACTGCAGGTGTGAGCCACCATGCCTGGCACAAATAATATTTAATTAATGGCTGAATGAAGGAATAACTTTCAGTTTGGGGCATGTGCTGAATGCCTTTACCCATACATTTTGGAACACTTGAATGATTGTGTTCTTCAGATCCCCTTGGTTGCCATGATAAAAAGGATATATACTTTCTCCTAGTTTTGAATTTTGCTAACAATTTGTTCTAGAAGATTATACGACTGTTTACCCCTGCCAGATGTGACCAGGCAATCTCATTTCTCTGTATGGTTAATGTTTTGTCTCCACCCAGACTAGCCTAGTCTTAGTTAGTTGTTATGATAGGTATTTTAATACATACAATTTTATTTTTAACACATAATGAAATAGATGATTAGGTAAAAACTATCAGTTTGTAAGTGTTAAAATTTATTGTGAGATTGGGCATTTCCCCTTTGTGTATACTGTCTGTTCATATTGATATTTTGTGAGGTGCCTCTGTGTGTTCTGTGATGGCTCAAATTTTTCCTTTTTCTTCTTAATATTTATAGTTTTCTTTCAGTTACTAATATTCTTCTATTTCAGGTTATGGACTATAACATTAACTTGGGCAAACACCTTCTCCCCCTCGTGGTCCAGGTGCTCAAATACTGCTCTTGTCCTCAACTACGGCATTATTTCCAACAGCCACCTCGCTGCTCCCTCTGGTCCTTAAAGCCTCACATCAGGCAGATGTGGTTGAAGGCCTTGCTCGTCATCCTTTACAAGGTGAGTGACTGTGCTCCCTCTGCTGGGATGGAAGGTCTTCTTAGACAGCACAAAGATGCTAGGAGGGTCCCTAACGGATGAGGATTCCACGGGATGACAGTTAGACCTTCAGAAGAGATGCAGTCCGTGTTGCGAGGTGAAGTTATGAGAATGGAAAAGAAACAGGAAGGAATGCAGTACAGGGTTTCAAATGTTTTTTAAAACAACCAGTGATTTCTATGCTCAGAGTCTCATATTTTATGTAAGTCTTGACTATTTAGAAAACAAAGGTGATATTTAAAATTATATTTATAGGTAACGTTATCAGTGCTCTTTAAGGCATCCACTGGGATCTAGCCCACGCTGCTGCCAGTGGTTTGATGAACGGAGAGACGAGGACCCTGTAAAACAAGCTTATGATCAGAACCTGGGTTGTTACTTGTATGTGCGTTTTTTCTAGTGCATGAGAAGTAGAAGAAAACTACCCAGTAAGATCCCTGGGAAGATTTACCCTTTGGAATAACCACTTGTGTTTTCTCCCCTTTGCACAGTATCCATACCGAGACTGTGATGTCAGCAAGATCCTTCTGCACCTGATTCACATAACAGTCAATACACTCAATGCGCAATACCATAGCTGCAAGCCCCATGCCACGGCAGGACCTTTGTACAGTGACAACAGCAACATAAGCAGATACAGCGAGAAAGAAAAAGGTACTTCTCAAGACAGAATTCTGTCCTGAATTTAACTGGGATACATGATGTGCTTCCAGACAGCAGTCTTTACATTGTCCAAGGAGGTAGAGGAGCACCCCCATACATTCTTTTTTGTGGGGGAGGGCTTTCCTGGAACTAGCTCTTGTAGACCAGGCTGGCCTCAAACTCATAGAAATCTGTTTTCTTCTGCCTCCTGAATACTGGGATTAAAGGTGTGCGCCACCACCACCCAGTGACCACCATATGTTCTAATGAAGCCAAAACCATCATTTCCTAGTTGGTTAATTTTTCAACTATCTCAGGAATGTTGTTGCTTTTACTTTTGTACTGAGTGTGCAGGAGAATCAGTTGGCATACTTCTGAAACTCAAAATAATAGTAAATATTGGGGATGCTATTTTTCCCATCTGATTAATGGGCTATTATAACCTCCTATTACATGCCGGAAACATCTTGCCTTTGGGCCGTGACCTGTCTGGGTTGGTAGTCAGTGGCATCATCATTTGAGTGTCCCTCGTTTGCCCTTGAACTTCATGCTCACAGATTTTGAATTCAGTCTCAATTTTCTGAAGTGCCTTTCCCAAGCCTCATTATTCAGTATGAATGATTGAAGGCAGTGGAAATGAAGAGCCTTTTGTGTAGAAGTTTAAATTATTTTCAATGTTGATGGCTTTTTCATTGATAACTTTCCCTCAAAGGCAGCAGTAGAACGAAATACTAAATTGAGTGAAATTACAAGTAAAAGATGGAGAGCCAAGGTTTGTATCTTTGATAAATGTCACAGTATAACTAGAAATCAAAAATGGTGACATCATTGAATTGATCTTAGGAGAAAGCCAAGTGCCTTTTGACCCTGTAACGTTAGATGGGTCTGAATTGGTAGGGTGACTGGAGGAAGGCATTGGGCTAGTGGCCAGTGATCCACTGTTTGTCACTCTGAGGACCATGGTGCTTGGCTGGCGTCAGATGACATGGAGGATCAGCTAACACTCTGGAACTGTTCAAATCCTTCTTGAAGAGTGTGGTGTTCATCAGCTTAGGTATCTGGAAATTTTCATAGACTCATTTAAGTTATGGTGCTTTCAGTGTGCTCAGTGTCTGGACAGGGCCAAGCCCAGATCACTTCCTAGGTAGAAGGGACAGCTCATGTCCTCCCATTGCTATCATGCGACACAATACATTTTTGGAGTTATTTCAAAATTATGAAATGCAAGTCACTATTGACATTTGCTTAGGAAATTAATTTTAAAAAGATTTTTTAAAAAAAAAGAAAGAAAGAAGGTCATTTTGATGCATTTCCCCCAAAACATGGGAATTTGATAGAATGTCTTATCTTTGTGTATACTCACATGGCGGTTTGCATCCATTCTGATTGTTAATGTTTTTTATTTGAATCCAAAGATCTCTGTGGTGACATCAACTAATGTTTACTGCTTAGTATTCCATTAACCAATAGACTCTCACGCATCAGGATTATACTGGTCTTTAATCGTTAGGACTGACATTTTCCCAGACTCAAGAAATCTAGATTCACCATCATCATCATGGTGGGATGGCGTCCTGTCACCGCAGGGATCCATAAAGCCCAAACATTACAGTTGCAGGGATGCTCACCTCAGAGAGCAGGCAGTTTCATTTACTGTGCTGTGAAGTGCATTTCACGGGTCTCTATCACTGGTTACATGTGCCTTGTCCTTTCGAAAGGATGAGGGAGGAAACGTTGGGAAGTAGTAAACTTGAGGTTTTGTAGCAGGATGGTTCTTTCTTCATTTATATGTTACTTGGATTGTTTTGACTCAAGAGCAGCCAAGTAGAGTCAGAAGAAAGGACCTATAAGCAAGCTTAGTGGGCAATAAGCAATCATCTTGTCTGTGGAACCCAGGATGACAAGAGCCAAAGGTTTTTTCCCCTTGGGATCCATAAAATCTATTACAGTTATGCAATAAATGTTTCAAAGAAGAGCCTTCTTACAATAGGAAGAAATGTGATTTTCTGTTTTATTTTTCCTTTGTTTACTCTTTCAGTCCATAATCATCCGTGGAGCTTCTGAGATGACCAGTGGCTTCTCTAAGCTTTTTCTGTGTGCTGTGTGTTTCATTACCAAATGTAGAGTACAGTATTTTGCATTCACGGAGCATAAGGTGCATGTACTGTTAGGCTGTGTCTATGCCAGTTCCCAGATCCCAAGAAGGCAAATGTATCTTAGAAGGATCAAACCCCACTCACACAATGTCCTCCTTGTCAAATTAGCATGAAAATCACAGGCAAGCTTGAGCAATGTCCAGACTCCTGGAGAGAGTTCTGGCATCTGTGTGTCGTTTGGTTTTAAGTATAATGGGCACATTCCCCAGGGAGGAAGGCTCTTGTGAACCACTGAGATGTTTCTCATAGTGCTGCCCGCTGTCATTCAGAAGGTGTTGGGGAGCTTTGTAACAGGTTGCGTGGTTCTGATCTGAATTATCTGGATGGAGTACAGACCCACAGCTAAATTCTGCTGCTGCTGAAACCACTTAGACTGCCCTGAATGCTTTCACTGAATGCTTGTGTAGACACAGCCTAAGAGAGTAACCTCCTAAGTGTAATTTTGGCTTTCTCTCCCCAATTAGAAGAAGATAGTGTTTTTGATGAATCTGATATTCATGATACACCTACTGGACCCTGCAATAAAGAGTCTCAAACTTTTTTTGCAAGATTGAAAAGGATAGGCGGCAGCAAAATGGTGAAATACCAGCCGGTTGAAATGAATGTTCAGAGAAGTATGAATTTTTCCTCTTAGTAATTTTATGCAGAAATGTTGTACTCTACTGTTTGTTTGGGGTGAAATCTTAATTTTATTATGTTACCATATATTTTGATATTATTGATTTTTATATATATGTATGCACAAACAGTATATATATACACGCATTTATCTATATATATACGTGAGTTGACAGATATGTCATTAATGTCATGATTGTCTTCAAGGGCCATTGCTTGATTTAATTTGTTGCAAAATGTTTGCTTCTCTTTCACACAATTTGAATACACGTTCCTAGACTTACCTCAGCCAAAAACCAAAACAAAATAAACAAAACCAACCAGCAAAACCAAACAAAAAAAAAATCCCTCTCTTATGTCTAATGATTATCAGAGCTGAGGAGCTACCTCCAAGCTTGATTTTTGGAAATCCAATCATAAGCCACTACTTGGGTTTCTTTCGTACCCAAGTTTCCCAATTCTTAAAATCAGAATGAATCTTACAAAAACATGGCCAGAAAATGTTTCCCTTCTGGTAGAGCTGGGATTGTAATTACAATTTGTGCCAATTGTGTACCCAAGTATGAGGGGAAATGGTAAACTCTCAGAGGGACATAGTACTAGCTCTTTCTGTTTTGATCAGGTGAAATAGAACTGGCCGAATATAGAGAAACTGGTGCGTTACAAGACAGCGTTCTGCACTGTGTGAGAGAAGAAAGCATTCAGAAAAAAAAGCTGCGCTCTTTTAAACAAAAATCTCTTGATATAGGGAATGCAGACTCCCTCTTGTTTACATTAGATGAGCATCGTAGGAAGTCCTGCATAGATCGCTGTGACATAGATAAGCCTCCTGCCCAAGCTGCTTATATTGCACAACGGCAAAATGACCACCACGGACGCTCTAGACAGAATTCTGCTACGAGGCCTGACAGTACTGAAATCCCCAAGAATCCGGCGACTGAAGGTTTTCAAGAAACACGAAGGCCCGTGATACCAGAAGTTAGGTTGAACTGTATGGAGACGTTCGAAGTGAGAGTTGACTCCCCGGGAAAGCCCGCCCCTAAAGAGGATTTTGATCTCATAGATTTGTCCTCAGATTCAACGTCTGGACCAGAGAAACACTCTATACTCTCAACATCTGACAGTGACTCTCTTGTATTTGAGCCTCTCCCGCCTCTCAGAATAGTAGAAAGTGATGAAGAAGATGAGATGATGAACCAGGGGAATGATGGTTCCTCGGGTAAAAATGCTGCCTCCTCACCCTCCATCCCCAGCCAGCCCTCTGTCCTTAGCTTAAGCACTACTCCTCTTGTGCAGGTCAGTGTGGAGGACTGTTCCAAAGACTTTTCCTCTAAGGACTCAGGAAATCACCAGTCAGCGAGCAATGACGACTCGACCATCACAGCTCTGGACGAGCTCACCGACTCTGAAGAGCTGTCGAAGTCACAGGAGCTGAGAGAGTTTGCCTCTGGCAGTCCGCTAACACTAAAGCAGAAGCGAGACCACCTCCAGAAGTCACCTGCGGTCCCCGAGATGTCAGTGGACTACAACCCTGACCTTGGCACGGCTGGAGAGAAGGCAGGCCAGACACCAACATCAGGGGCCAAAACTGTGCTCCTCAAAGTTCCTGAAGATGCTGAGAGTCCAATAGAAAGCGAGAAGCCCAACTCAAGCACTGAGTCTGATACAGAACAGAACCCTGAAAGGAAGGCAGAGGAGGATGGGGCTGAGGAATCAGAGTTTAAGATTCAGATCGTCCCCAGACAGAGGAAACAAAGGAAGATTGCCGTCAGCGCTATCCAGAGAGAGTACCTCGACATCTCCTTCAACATTCTAGACAAACTGGGTGACCAGAAGGACCCAGGTAAGCCTGTCTCTCTTCTTTCGGACCTTCAGGTTTGTGCATCTTACTTGGTAGCGTTTTGACACAAACTATGCACCAAACTGGAAATCTTATAATGTCGGGGCTGACATTATAACCGCTTCTTAACCACTCAGAATCCGTCCTGGTCACCACAGGGCACTGGATTCTGATATGGCTGTATTGACTCCATCAGTGTTTCGTGTTTGTTGTTTCTAGTTTTACCATCAATCTTTGACTGTTGTGGGCAATGGCTAATTGATACCTAGATATTTCAAAAGTAACTTTGGCTTTCCCTAAAGCAACAAATAATTAATTTTGAATTATGTTTTTGCTTTCGTTTTTTCCCCTCTCTTGTTATAATTTGCTTTTTGTTTCTGTGATTAAACACTGTCTGAAAACAACTTGGGGAGGAAAGGGCTTATTTCACCTTATACTTCCAGGTCACAATCCATCATTGGGGGAAGTCGGGGCGACAATTCAAGGTAGGCATCAGGAGGCAGGAACTGAAGCAGAGACCATGGAGAGGAGCTTACTAAATTACTGGCTTGCTTCCAGGCTTAGCTACCTTTCTTAAATAGCCCAGGCCTGCCTTCTGATTTGCAGTGCCCATAGTAGACTGAGTCCTCCTACAACAATTAGTAATTAGGGAAATGCCTACAGGCATGCCCACAGGCTAATCTAATGGAGGCAGTTGTTCCATTGGCATGTAATTGCCACTTCCTCTTCTTAGGTAGGTAATGTAAAGCTGCGACCAAAATCAGCCATCACACTCTGTTTATGTTAGTGAACTATGTAGTCCAAGTGCAGAGTAAATGAACTGTTGAATAATCATTTAGGGGTTAGGTAGATTGGTCAGCACAGTTTCCAGGTACAATCTGGACTCTGACCCACAGACGCCACCTGCTGCGTTTCCGGTCTTAAGTGTCACTTGCTGTGTTTTCTTTGAGGCACAATTTTTAGAAGATGTTGTATAAAAATTGGCTTTCTGTTGGTCACCTCACTCATGCCAAACAAGTCTCCTGTCACATTAACCCTGATGGAGGTGCTTCCTCCTCCTCAACTGAATCATGGCAGTGATTAAAGAACGTGAGAAAAACTACAATTATTTCAGTCTGCTTGGAAACCAGAGACCATTGAGAACTGGCAAAGACCGTGGAGGTGACCACGAGTCCAGCCTGTGAATTCTTAGGTCGTGCTCCTTCCCCAGGTGGCACAAGCTGGCAAGGCAATGTTGGACCTTCTGCCTCATCCTAGTCCAGCTTCTCCCAGTCTCCCACTCCAAAGAAGCTGCTTAGAGAAATACCCAGACCCCTGCACTTCCCTGACATCTATAGGGGTTTCTAGCTCTTTCCTAGCCATAGAACACAACAGTTTGCCTCAAGGACACTGAAAAATGCTGAGTGAGCGTTAGCATGTTCGGAGCCGGTCATGGTCTATCTGGGCAGGGTGGAGTCTTAGCTCATCAGGAAAGCTTAACCAACTAAGAAGGGTTTGAGGGAAACTTGGACATCTTTATCTTGTTTGGGACTGGGGAAATTGCTGCATTTGAGTACAGGACAGAATTGATCCAGAAACTGTATATGATAGGAGGGTAAGAGACTAATGAGTTGTATATGATAGGCATTTATTATAAATAGGCTGTAATGTAACTCAAAGGATACATTAGTATATGCATACATTTTAGCTTCTTCATTTTCCCATATATTTAATTGTTCCCCAAGATACCAGTGAAGAACTGGTTTTCTTTTTTGTAGTCATACATTTGATCCCAGAACAAGAGAAAAGTATATGAAGATGATTGTTTAACTTTTGATAATTACCCTGTCAGTTGGCTCTTTAGCCCTCCACTTCCCACAAACATACAGATCTTTCCCTACTGGGAGCACTAGAAGGAGGAGGGGCCCGTACAATCAGTGTCTGGGTCAGGCTTTCTGCTTTTACTAGAGGGGAGTGAGAAAGGCCCAGACACGCCCTCTTCCGAATCCTCTCCACTGATATTCTCACTTGCTCATTGCCCAGAGGATAGGGCCACCTCTCTGCTGGCGTCAGTCACTGTGACAAGACCCACGCACTGCAGGCTGGGATGCTCTTCTTCTGTTTCACTAGACTGCCGTAAATTCTGAAAAATTCTCATGTACCTCCCTCCACACCCCCAGAAATTCTTGGGTTCCTCTTAGCAAAACCCGTTGTCTGTCTTTCTCTGTCTAGCTCTTATTTCCATCACCTTCCTAACCTAATGGAAGCCTGGCACTTCCTGAGGATGCAGCTTCCAGAAAGCCCATTTGCCACTGGGCTGGGGGCACGGATTAGGGGCTGTTTACACTCACCATGCCCCCAGGCCATAATTTCCTTATCTCTAAGTCCCATGGTTCTGATTCTGCTGTTATCAGCCCATCACACACACAGTCCCATTGTTCATTAGTACTCCCTGACTCTTGGCCCCATCAGCACCCATGTTCTGTTCTGTTCTGTTCTGTTCTGTTCTGTTCTGTTCTGTTCTGTTCTGTTCTGTTCTGTTAATTCTTGCTGTTCCAGTAATATGTGTTAATGTCTTTTGATGCCCAGGCGTCTCAGTTTCTCGAACTGGCCTTCTCCAGTACCTTTCCATCCTCGAGATTAACTCAGCCACTAATTGCTGTAATTGTATCACAGACTTATTACCAACAACCCCAGCCTTCCTGAGATTTCAATGATGTCCACTGTTCTTTGATTACCAGTTCTTCTCTTTCTCACAGGACTTATTGATCCTACTGTCCCTTAGTATCTCCCACTTCCTGTCTTTTCTCCTTCTCACCTTAAATTCAAGACTATCCTCTTGGGCGTCCTTTCCCAAACATTCTTGAGTGAATACATCCTTCGTGAAATCAAACTCTCTGTGCACAAGCATATGCCCCAATCAGATGAATATGTTTAGATAAAAATGTGTAACGTAGGATATTTCATTTTAAACTCATGGTGACAACCCGTAACTGGGAAGTTACCCACCAATTATACAGTATTTTCCAGATCCACACTTCATTCTCCTACTTGGCTATTTCATAGCTGCTTTTCTCCTCAAATGTCAAGACCTCTTCCTGACTGACACGATCATAAGGAATTTTCTGCTTCATTTATATGCTTCCCAACCACACCTGCCTTCTCCTCTGACATTTACATTCAACCACGTGGTTTCCTGCCAAGATCCCATTTCTCTTATCTACCCCAGGATACATGAACATTCTCCACCCTCTGCCCTCCATGGTTTCTTTTAAAGAACTTCTGACTTGAGCACACAGACACAATCTTATTTTGTTCTTTACTTAAAAATAAAAAGAGGCTCATAAAGGCAGTTTTGGTTTGCTTTCCGTTGCTGTGATAACAATACTATGACCCAAAGCTACTAAAGGAAGAAAGAGTTTATTCTGCCTCATGGTTCCAGAGGGTTAGAGTCCATCATGGTGGGGAAGGCATGGCATGGGAATGGCAGCAGGAAGCTGGCCAATCATATTTTATCTATAGTCAGCAATCAGAGAGAAAGGGCACAGGGCATGGAGCCAGGCTATAAAACATCAAAGCCATAAGGACGCACTTCCTCCATCAAGGTTCCACCCCATCCCAAACAGCACCACTGACTGGGGACCAAGTGATCAAATACATGAGCCAATGGGACATTTGTCAATCAAACCACCTCAGGCATCCAACAATTGCTCTCTCTCCAGTTTTCTTCTGGAATATTTTTCTTCCATTTTTCCCTACTACAACAACAAAACTGTATTTTTCAAAATCACCAAGGACCTTCACTGCTAAATCCAATGGTCACTGTTGAAGCTTCTCCTCTGGCATAGCTACAATATTTAACATAATTGATGACTTCTACTTAAAGTGGCTTTCCTTTTCTATTCGTTGATCACTAAGTCTCAGTCTCTCCTGTTGGTTCTTCCTCATTTCCCCAAGGGAGTGCATTCCTGCTCTTCTCCCCACCTCTGGGGACACCTACTTTCTTGGTGATCTTATCTACTGAGACAACTATTAGTACCCATTGCTGTACTAATGTCATGTCACAACAGTCACCAGCATACAGCAATACTTTTATCTGAGGGTCTTGGACATCTAAAGATGAACTAAGCTAGACCCAGCTTGGATGGGCAGCCAAGCTCTGTTTCTCTTGCTTGCCAACCTTCTATGTATTCTACAAAGTATAGGGATATTCTTATTGTTATATAGCCACAGAGAGCAAGATCAATTGTACAAACATTTATAAAAGATTAAGTAGTTTTGCTTCATGTTTTTGCAATAAGAAGATATTATGGCCAAAATCAACCTGGGAAAGGAAAGGGTTAATTTAGCTTATACTTCCAAGTCACAATTTATGACTGATGGAAGTTGGGACAGGAACTGAAGCAGAAACCACAGAGGAATGTTGCTTGTTGGCTTGCTCTCCCTCTGGTTCATGTTTGGCTAGCTTTCTCATACAGCCTAAACCAACCTGCCTAGGGATCTACTGCCATAGTGGTCTGGGTCCTTGTATATCAATTAGCATCCAAGAAAATGATCCACAGGCATGCCTATAAGTCACTCTGATCAAGGCAATTCTTCATTTGTGGTTCTCCCATCCTAGGCAGCACTAGGTTGTATTAACTTGACTATAACTTGACTATAACTTGACTATAACTATTAACTTGACTATCTTACCTTGACTATAATGTCTTACCAGGACCATCATAAAATGCCTGTAAACACTTGTCAGGGAAAGAAAATTGCATGACTGAACCAAAAACCAAGGGGAAATATGCATTCCTCCTAGTACAGGGATGTCAGAGTCACTCAGTGAAAGGGGCTTGCTCAGGGAGAATTGGGAACATGGAGTCTCATCTCTTGCATTGTACAGGACATAATCGTGCTGTAAAATGGTCTCTTGCTGTTCTCAGAAATTAAACCTTAACTGAGCATCATTAGTTCCATCTGGCAACTACAATCTCCTCTAAGATGTAACATATACCACCACCTTCTTATGCCTACCA